CACCACACTCACCACTACACTCACCACACTCACCACTACACTCACTCACCATTACACTCACCACTACACTCACCACTATGCTCACTCACCACCACACTCACCACTACACTCACTCACCACTACACTCACTACTACTCACCACTACACTCACCATTACACTCACCACCACTACTCACCGCTACACTCACCTCACCACTACACTCAACACTCACTCACCACTACACTCACCTCCACACTCACCACACTCACTCACCACTACACTCACTTTTTGTTGTTCAAATGGTCATCGCGGCGTTGCTGATTTGTTTCCAGTGCCCTCTTAGACAGTGGTGCAAACTCCACATTCCTGTGACGGGGGCAAGTACTTCAATTGCGTTACCAGTGTTGGGGCGCCGCGGTGGCGAGATGTTAATCACATCGCCTGTTGTGCAGGAGGCCATGGGTTCGATGCCTACTGTATATTTGGAGTTTGCGTGTCTCTCTCCCGAGGTCGCGTGTATTTTTCTCCAGGTCCTCCACATGTTAAGCCACTTCTTTGAGCTGTCATCTGTGATAGGCAGTCGCTTCTGAACACGAGCTATACAGCTCATGGTAGAATACAGTAGGTAGTATTTACCAACAAAGTGGTACATATTTTACCGTCGGTGTTAGTCCATCGTAACGTGAAGGAGCCAAACGTGGACGTCGCATTTTTGACATACTCAGCCATAATCAATCCACTGCTGTTTGAAGGCTTTCCCAACCCGTAGCCATCTCCCACACGGTGTCTCGCGATGTGACAATCCATTAAACGACGACGACATGCGAGCCTATGTCATCGCTCCATCTCCCAGCTTTACGTCCTTTGTGCCTGCTCCTTTGGCTTCTGTGGCACCGTTACTGTTGAGCATTAGCCATCATCCTACAGTAGGCGGCAGCATTTCCCCACTGGAATTTAGCCAAAGTAAGTGCAAAACCACAACTAAGTCTGTGCGTCTATTGGCGACGACCGTGTTGATACCACCAGCTGTCACTCCACTTGAGAACGCGGTGTAATCACAGGTGGCTGCCTCGATTCTAACCCAGGATCTCCACGGTGCAGTTCAATGCCTTGACCTCGGCCACCTGTAAAGCCACTGTCTTAACAGTCTCTCTCTAACGTGTGTGTGTGTGTTATTTGACCATGAACTCATATCTGTCCTGCTCCAATTTATTTTCCAATGCCCATGTTTCGTATTCATGCGCAATGACAGTTAACATTTCAGAATATTTATTTATACTGGAGGAATCCGATGAGATATTAAGCACTTTTTCACAGATGTCCAGTAGAAGCGAGTCAGAACGTTACGACAAGAAAATATACAAAACACGACAGGAGTACAAAGTTTAGGAAAAGTAAACAAATCACTATTTTAAAAAGACACTTGTTAAAATAATAATTTCGTCACATATGTACGTTGCTTTTCGTGGCCAAGTTTAGTTTTACAAAAGCACTCCAACCTGCTGTCGTCCTCCTGTTTATGCCACCATTTAGACGCTGGTCCACCTTCAACGATTACCCTTGCCATATGATCATCTTGGGGTGCTGCGGTAGCGAAATGTTAACTAACGTAGTATACAGGAGGTCGTGGGTTCGACCCTGACGCCTGCTGTATATTTGGAGTTTGCATGTTCTCCCCATGGTCGCGTGGATTTTTGTCCGGGTCCTCCGGTTTTCCCCTTCACATTTAGAAACATGCGTTTAGGCAGGCGTGGGGAATGTATAAGGCCCGCGAAATAATTTGGTCTGGCCTTGCCAAGGCAACCGCACGACTTGAAATTTAATAAATCTCGGCGCTTTTTTCATAGCACCATAAATTTAAGGGTAAGTGGGCGGGGCTAGAGGTGGAATTTGCATGTGAATGTAAGATCGGTGATGTAGCTCTACGATGAAGATTCAGCTGTGGAGGTGGCCCTTGTATTATGAGAGATTAACATGTCAATGTAAAATGTAAGATCGGTGCAGTCACGAAAGATTTAAGTCAAGATTTAAGCAGATACTGCTATAGATTAAGCAGATACTACGATAGTCAGCAGATACTAATATAACGTTAGTAGTTACGACTATAATCGGTAGATACTACTAAAGAGTAAATAGATACTACTATAGATTCAGTAGATACTACTGTAGGGTCAGTAGTTACTACAATAGAGTCGGTAGATACTACTATAGAGTCAGCAGATACTACTATGGAGTTAGTCGATAATACTACAGTCAGTAGATTCCACTACAGTCAGTATATACTGCTGCAGAGTCAGTAGTAACGACTATAGAGTTAGTAATTACTACTATAGAGTCAGCAGATACTACTGTAGGGTCAGTAGATACTACTATAGTCAGTAGATACGACTGTAGAGCCAGATACTACTGTAGAGTCAAATACTACGATAGAGTCACTAGATACTACTTGCTTGATAGTATGTAGGGTGTGTAGGTGTATATGCCTACACGGGGGTAAAAATATTTTTCGAGGGGGGGTTGGGGTCGACAATTTTCAGAAACCCTTTCTATATTTTTTTTGGACTTCTGCAAGCCTCTTATAATTTTGTTGATGGACAAATGGGCAAACGGCACGCCGGGCTTTCACAATAGCTTAGTATTTGTGTATGTTTCTGTTATGTTTTTAAAATAAGTTTTAAAATACATTTTCCCCCGGGCAACGCCAGGTACTTCCCGCTAGTTTAACTATAAACATCTATTTCCAGCTCTGCAATCTCCTTAATGATAATTGTCTGTCATTCCCTGCCATTGGTTGTATAATATCAGATATAACATTTAGCAAAATATGAGATTGTTAATATTTTCTCCAATTTTCGGAAAACGTGCAAATGTCACTGAATAGCTTCATAGAAGGTGTATTCCGGTCTTCCCGTGTGTTGTTTGTTGCATCGTGCAATGGGATTGTATCTTTTCCGTCTTTTATAAAATAAATGTTCATTAATATTTTGTACGTAGCCTTGACCGTGTATTCACAAATACCATGAATGGGTTTAACAACGTAAAAAACCCAGGAATCAATGCAGCTGATATGAATGTGTGGCACTTGGAGTGTGCAGACGATGCGGTTTCTTGGTCAGTCAGGAGCCGTGCAGCTGTTTGAGGTCTTAGACATAGGGGCCAGAACACTGGGATCTTATGGTGCAAGCTTTGCGAATACAAAGTTTATGGAAGTACAAATTGGGCTCCTATAGTAGTAGGTCTCAAGTCCTGGAAGGAGGAAAGAGGTTGAGGTGGTAGAACATGCGAGTCTCAACAGGGGAGAGCCTTGAGATGTCACTTGAAGGTGGATGGTGCTTGGGCCCTGGGAATGTGCAGTGGCATAGAGTTCCAGATGGGTGCTGGTGCAGCTACGGCGAAACGCTGGTCAGCCAGGACAGCCCTGACTGGATTAAGAATGTCACCTGGTTTTGTTTTTTTTAACACTGAGATCATTTTGCATGCCACTGTAGTATCATTCATTTTCTGGAGCTGGACACAGCAGTGCCCATGCTTCTGTCTTGACTGATTGAACTCTTGTTTGCCCACCTGTTAAGTGTTCTGGATTCCACAGAGATACCCATATACATAAGACTATGAAAGACAGCACTGCAATATGGTGAAAGATATGCCAAGAAGGATGCTGATAAGTTAACCATTTTCATTAAATTATACCTTTAATTAATACAAAAATCACAATCGGCTAGTTAGTTGGTAGTTTGGAGGTGTTTTCCAACCAGCTCCAAGAATGTTGATGCTGGTACAACTCCTCACTGTGTGGCTGTTAAGGGGTTTCATTGGCAGATACGCTGGTGTACTGTTAACTTTGGTTGACAATTTACACCAAAATATTAATTAGTGTCGTCATGCATGAATACAGAATAGGGGAGAGTTTAAAGTGCCGTAACGTATCTGGTTTTACTGACCTGCTCCCCACTTCTATAAATATTTCACTGGCATCCACTACAGTAAGTGTATCCCTGATGCTCAATTTAGAGCTGAACAGCACGTTATGTGCAACATACAGTGCTGTGTGCTGGGATAAACAATCTGTATCGTGATCTTTACTCACTCTTTCCAGTGTTTTTAATAATTCGTTCTATCCCCAAAATTGCCTAAGTGATGACTTCTTTAAATGGGGTTTTATCTGTTTGTATCGTTCTCGGTGATCTGTGTATATAATGGATGGTTATCTACTCACAAATAAGTCGATAACATCTGGTGCAAATATATGGATATATTCACTAATAACATTGCGATACGAGTTCATGCCTTCTAAAGGAGCTATATTATAATAACTGGCATTTTGGTCGTCCGTGATATCTATGGTGTAGACACTTTGTTCTCATGAATGACCAGATAAACCTGTTATTAACGTTATGAATTGTATTATATCCAGCCTTGGGATTCTCGAAAACGATACGGACACATTGTAACCTCTCGGCCAATTTGAGTGGCAGTCTTGTGGACGATAATGCGTGTTGGGTGGTGGGGGAGGGGGTGGCAGTTGGAGGAAGTGGTCTAATTTTAGGGAGTGGCCAAATAATTCTGTCTGGAATGGCCAACGTGTGCTACCTTACGTGTTTCTACTCTCGTCGGGGGCAGACAATGGGACGAGGATTCCTGAGGGAGTTAATGCCTCTCCTGGGCTTGCACTACATTCCCTCCTACATGATTGACCATAAAAGGTACTTTTAAACCTGAGTAACCGGCAGTGACAGAAAATAAATAAACAAACGCCCTTTAAATTTCCATGCTGCCGGGCACCTCGTGACTCAGTCCCTCCTGGATGCCCAGAGGAGTGAGGTAGTTCCACGTGACTTCGGGTTTGGCAAGAGACGGAGTGTGAGTGAGTGTGTGTGCGCGTCTTCTGAGGGTGTCGAGTTTGGGAGCTCGTCCCCCCCCCGGCCCGCGTGGTGGGAGGAGTAAACCGAGAGGGGGGCGGCTGCTCGGGGGGGGGGGTGGCAGGGCGTGTTGCAGGCGCGGGACCCAGTGCGTCGTGCGCCCGCGTGGTCTCCGCAGCTCCCGTGAGTGCCTCCGTGCCTCTTGGACGACTTACTCACAGCTGCAGTACCTCTAGCGACTTCTAGCACACCGTATACGCCTCGTCAAGTGGGTCTGGCCTCTTCTTTGCGGTTACCACAGTGGCTTGAACGTCGCTCATCGTGGTAGGTGCTTTAAACCGAGTTTGTGGAAATGTCAGTTTCCGTATTAAAAACGTACTTTGTGCCATCTGTTACAATTCATAGTATATAATACGGTGTGACATTCAACCGGTACTTTTCATACACAATGTAATCTTTGAGAGTGTGACGTGAACTTTCGCAATGTGAAGAAGTTTAAACCATGTAAAGTTTAATATTTGATTTGCGAATTGTTTATTTTCTTAAAGTAGGTAATATAGGTAATATAATTGATGCTATTGTAATGATCTTTAGATGATAAAACTTGTTTGGCCTTTAATACAGAGCTTTGGTAATATGTAAGTGTTGAAAACGTTTGAATGTTTAAACGGTATCGTTTGTGGAGGGAGTAGAGCTGTGGGTGACGATATGCGAATGCAGGGGAAGTGTGCGCCAGAAGTTATCCGCCGCCACGAGGTGAACCTGACCTCGAGGGTTTTGGCTTGAGAGAGAATAGCAGCACTCTTGCCGTGCAGTGTGGACAGCTGTGAGCATCCACCGAAGAAGGAAAAGCAAAACATTGTAAAGTTACTTTCTTGGGTCGAGGAGTCTTGTGTCTGTAAACTTTATGCAGTCTCGATCAGTCATACTGATTAATATGAATAATATTTTTGCACGATAGTCTTGTGGAGCCTCGCCGTTGTAGTTTGTTTTGTAATGTGGTGTCATGCCTGGGATATGTTTTTTGTCTGTGTTTTGGCTACTTTCTCCTTATGATTCTATCAGTTTTAACAACTTTGTTTTCTCTTTAATTAAAATTACATTCCGGTTGTGGTTTTGTATCATTTCACTTGACACAGACATTTCCATGTATGTTTATATGTATCTAGAACTATATTCTTGGTTCTTTCGGTAAAGTCACGTAGAAGGGAAATAATAAAATAATAAAAATTTAATAATTCTCACGACGTTTCGGCCACAACGCAAGCAGCCGTCCTCGGGTGAAGACCAGGTCTGTCGGGGGAGAGCGTCTGAATGAAACACCACCACGCTTGGAGTGTATATTTAAGCTGGGTTGGAAGGGGTAGGGCGCCTTGACAAAATAATTTGCATATAAAGAGGAATTTAGCATATTTATGGGAAATGCAGGTATGTGATTAGTACTACTTGTGAAATGCGTAGAAGGTGGGCAGGGGGTTTCAAAGTCATATGCCCGTGCATTATGCTGGATTAGCAGCATCAAAGGGAGGGGATAGGGTAGTATTAATAAAGGGAAGGAATATTAATAGTATGTAGCTGCAGTAACTAAACAACCACGTAAAAAACTAAAGTATAAACTACATAGTATCATCAGTATACTAAATATACTCTCCAATAAGCTGAGCTACTAACAGTAAGTAATACATTACAATTCTATGTCGCAAAACATATAATATGCTTCCAGCTAAACTTTTTTCCCTTACATCACACGGGTCTACCCCGTACTATATGCTGCCATAGGCAAACCCAACATTAAATTATATACTGTATTACTATACGCCACCCTATACCTTAGAATAATACTTAGTGTAATATTACACTATGTATTATTATATCCACCCTACTGTATATCACACTGCTGTATATTCACTATACAATTACGATACTATATATTGCCTTATACACTGTATTAAACATTACAATTTTATACTATTAATTATTATACAATCTGCTATACACTATACCATTGACCGTCGAGTGAAATATCTAGAACTACTTTTGTACCATACGCAGCCAACCGTGCTAATCAGAGGTGCAGGGGAAGGACAACATACGGGTAGCTGGTAACGCAACCACCTTGTGTCAGAGACTGAAAGATGCTATCGCAAACCAACTGCTGAAGTCGCTTCCATGGAACCCTTGATCCTCTTTAGGAGACCACTTTGCTCTGCTTTGCACAACGGTCGTCATGTCAATCAAACTGAAATGTGTAAGACTACATTTAATGTGGTGTCAAAGTTTGTGCAGCCATTGGTGACAATGCCAAAATGTCAACTGTTCACCTGAGAACACTGCGGTTTCATCACGGACCTTGGCCCTGAATCAAACCCAGGACCTCAGCAGTGCCAGGTTCAGTACTCGAACCCTCGAGCCACCGGTCCACCCTGAGATTTAAACAATTTTGAGGGCCGCCCATGCAATAAAAAAGGTGATCTTTAAAGTAAACTTTGCCCTTGCATGCCAGACCTCTAAAAGAGAATGTAAATTCTATGTAAAGCCTTTGAATCTTCATCTTTAACCTTCGAACCGTAAAAATGTTAAGTATTGTAAGTGTTTTTTCTTACCTTCAAATGTAGGTATAAATTTGGTTGCACTCTGCTACATACAGTAAACTTCCAGCTATCTGGAATTCAAGTATCTGGAATTTTTTGACTGAGCCAGACCGTGTCTGGAAAAATTAAAAAAATTCAGTGAGCCAAAAATCCAGCCCACATTTAGACAATTCCAAACAGCCACCAGGCCGGCACTCTGGCGCGCACCCACAGCGCGCAGCCAACGTCATGAGTGTGACGACCAAAGTGTGCTGTGAGGTGTTGTGATGTACAGTGAGTGTTAATGTTAAGTTTACTAAACTGTATCATGAGTTTCGTTTTCTCAAAAGCTTAAGTGTTATACAAGGACACCCCTGTGGTCTTGTCAAAGGGATCAACACAGCTGCATTGCATTGGTGGTGAGTACAGAACTAGTGTGTGCAATAATATAAATCTTTGTTTACCTTAAGTGGCCTCATACACGCAGTGCACTCGCACTGGTCAGGATCGTTAAAGGTTAGTAGCTCTGACCAATGCTTCACTGTCTGCAGGGACCAGCGTGTTTGAGACCTGGCTAGCAGCGCCACTGGATAAGAGTTCTGATGTTGAGTTGGCGAGGGGTGGTGGTGGTGATGCTTGGGAAAGGGATGCGTGTTGATTATTTGTCATTTAATGGTTTTTGTAAATGTGTGTATCGTTATTTTTTTCCAGGATGAGCTCTTCATTCGTGGAAAACCTCATTGATTGGGGAGATTTGGATGAAATCAAAACAACTTCATCTGCCACTTTGGAGAAGACCGTTGCTGGAGCTTGTTTTTTAAAACCGTCCATTCTGAAGGCATCTCAAAAGGACAATTTATTTCCGTCCAAACCCAATAAGGTGATACTTGTTTCCTTTTTATCACGCAAGGTCAGGGACCCATTGATAATCGACCATAATAAATTACTTGGTCCAGGTGGGTATCTCATCATCCCCACATTACCCCTGTGTGTGTACCCCTCCCAAGCAGCACAAACCTACGTGTTATATAATTTTTAAATGTGTTCGCATCACGAGCCACGTTATTGTAAATGGTAGAGTAGATAAATAACACTCGGGTTTGTAAGCCAAATTGGCCAAATTATTGGGTCAAACGTCCAATTTATTGACAATTTCAACTGAATTCACATAACTGGGATATACGCTTTCACTTGTCACCTCATTGAAATGTCAGAATCGGTCTGGAAGGAGTTCTCCAGCTATACATGATGCCACTGCACCACGCTGCCACCCCAGTCTAGCAGTGATGTACGCGCAACAATCCTATGAAGTATTTTTTAAATTGTAATTCTTTAACTTTTAAGCTCAACTAAAACGATGTAAAGTTTTCTATTTACGATCGAGGTTAAGAGTTCGCCAGATTTGCAGCAATAGATTGAAAATATTGTTTTTACGTTTCCAAAGGATGGTTTCTGTTGTACGTGTGTTGTTAGGTATTGTCACACACTTTGTGATGGTATCCATTCAAAGTTGGGCCAGTCGTGACTCTTTAGAGATGATATTGTAAAGGGTGCTCGGGTGCCAAAGTATGTTTAAATTTTGTTTCACATGGAGTAGCTGAGGTGCTCTAATATTCTGGTCAAAATTGACAGTACAGCAGTTTCTTGATACTTCCAGTTTTGTAGGGTAGCTAAATAGGCTGTCAACGAATATACGCAAAAGTGCAGATTGCCGTTTTGGGATATTATTGGGAGGTGATACCAACTAATTTTTTTACATGCGTATTAGATCATTCGAGTTGATTTTGTTGAAATAGTTAGTATTGTCCTGCCAAAGGTTAGAATAATGCGAAATCTTGTCGCGGCAGTGGATTGTTTGTTCCTGTTGATGTTCCGAGGCCTCAGAAAGGACGGTCTTCATAACGTGCAATTAGATGAAGGGTCACACGCGTGTTGGTTACTTCCACAGTCACACGCGTGTCAGTTACTTCCACAGTCACACGCGTGTCAGTTACTTCCATGAGTTTACGATCAGAGGGGTGTGGTGGTGTGACAGCATTTGTGATGTCTTGTGTACACATGGCATCTTGTATGATATCGTTAATGACATCACCCTGTTGTGTCTTTAGTGTCATTGGAAGTATCTAATACTTACCAAGTCAAAGGTGAAATTTGGTGGAGAAGTATCCTGATCCAGTCGGGATGGCTGCCTTCTTTTAGAATGAATCGATACATTAAAATAAATGAATTATAAAAAATATACTTTTGCGTGATCAAAGAGTTTGTTAATTGATTAATAGTTCCACCTTCTCAGTTCCTTTCCTGTAAGAACATATTCCGTATGAAACACATCAATGGTTTTATAATTTGCCTGTCACTGATAGATCTTAAATTAGTACAGACACCAAATGAAAGTTTTGCTTTTGTTAAATTATGAACTGTGTTCTATTTTTTTCCCCACCCAAAACGTTTTCTCACAAAGACAAAAATGGGCAATGAAGAAAGTAGTCCGCAAAGTGAGGTAGGACGAGAGCACCCTGCTCACGGCTGCTTCTGCGTGGCGGTGTTCTTAACAAGCGAGATTGTCAGCGGTTGTGCGCTGCTGCTGTTGTTGAGGTTTCCTAATGCCTGCACGCCAGCTTCGTCTTACATTGCACATTAATGCTTGAAATCCTATTCCACATTTTCTTAATATCATCTAAAAAGTTACCGATGCATACAATTCGATAGCGTTTGTGCAGGTTACTTGGCTGAATAATGTTTGTTACCAGCACTTGCTTGTGTGGTTGCACCACTGGAGAATTCACATGTCGGTGCTTGATCGAGGTGGCCACTTTGGAAGCAGAAATACATTTTGTAACCCCTATCATTTACTTATTTGTAACACTTTCTTATTCGCTTCTTGTCAGTGTGCTTATTTTAGGGTTGCCGCAATATCAGGTTATACGATATTAAATTTCGCAATGTGTGATGATTCACGATCTCAGTTTACCTTGACTTTGTCATTTGTATTTTATGTCTTTATCATCTTGTTTTTGTGCTTTGTTCTAATTGATAAGAAATATGAAAAAATTGCCAAATCGTCATTCCCTGGCAGTTCACTTAATTGAAGCCTGCCATAAGTATTCTAATCATGATGGTAACTGCAATCTTTGATGCTTACAAAACACGTGCTGTCAGGAATAATATACAATCGACATTCTGTCAATTGTGTTATAATAAGGTAATTTAATGAGTAATATAATTTTTCGTAACTTTAATGTTAATTATTCTTTTAATCACATTTTTCTCAAATTTTTATGAAATTGCGATATTTAGCAAAATGGACAATACGATTATTGTGCGCATTCTATCGTACAATATAACCTAGGACTGTATCTTATGATACCGGCATAACATTGGCCCGTAGATGTATTGCTATATCACGGCAACCCTAGTATATATTTGCCGAGTTGCACGGTTGTATGTTGAACTTCTTTGGCACCTTGCATAGCCAACTGTGCTAATCGGAGGTCCAGGGGAAGGACAACAAACTAAACACAAAAAATCGGTTGCACAGTTAAAGTGTGAACACACTTTAATCTTCACAGGTAATTCTTGAATGGCTGCATTCTATGCCTGTCGCTTCCTTATCACTCTTGTTTTACCACTTACTAGCACAGCGTTTGTTCCTTTTGAACTTCGTATTTTGATACCTCTGAAAATGTCAGTCAACTCATCCATAATACAGGTTTTTTGGGGGGGTTAGCCATATTTGACTGTCTGCCTGATGATGGTAGTTGTAATTACTGGTGAAACGTCATACTCGGATTGTTATTGTTGTGTATTTGCTCTCCAACACACCAGTGTGCTGTACTTCGAATGAATTGGCATGTTCTGTTTACGTGACAAACCTTCCTAATTGGCTGTGGCGGGTGGTAGCGGGTTTAACACCACATTCATATTTATGCGATCTAACCCAAAAAAAACTATTTTATATGATATTGGTCGCGAAAGCCTACGTGTTAATCAGTCAACTCATTCTGACAATTTAGACGGTTTCCTCATCCGCACTGTGCTCGCATGCATCATTACAGGGCTTGACGAACTGCGCAACGCTGTAACTCGTTGCACCGCGCAAGTCCCAAATAAACTTGCTGAATTCAACGAGAGAGTTTATTCAAATCTGCTTTATTTTCCTTCGTGTCTTCCGTCGCTGGACACTTTGTATCGTAGCCCTTTGGACCCGTGCTCAGCAATGTCAAACAGTACCTCTCACATGTCTCTTCTAGCTCATCTGATTGCCACTTCTGTTTTCTCATATCTCAATGGATTGTCGATCATCTCATAGATTGTTTGAAATGCTTCCTATCTTTGATCAATCCTGAATACATATTCACCCTTTCTCGCTGTCTTCTATCCAAGCGTGTCTTTTACATCTCTGCATCTTTTTCGATTTAAAGCTTTCGTGACTGCAGGGATTCATATTCTTGGTGCTTTCTGTAAAGTCACGTAGAAGGGAAATAATAAAACATTATAAAATAAAATTCTCGCGACGTTTCGGCCACAACGCAAGCAGCCGGCTGCGAAACGTGAGAATTTTATTTTATCATGTTTTATTTTTATTATTTTATTATTTCCCTTCTACGTGACTTTACCGAAAGAACCAAGAATATCTCTGCATCTGTCACTTGTCTACGCCTCTTTTCCCACCACCGCTATTGCCTCTGCTCAAGCCACTATCTCTCTCTCTCGTGTACTTTTCATCTCCACATACCTGTCATCTATCTCTTTCCTCTCATCTTACTGCATCTGTCTGGTCCAAGTTGTTACTTTACTACATTTGCCCTAAGTCTACATCTCATCACTGTCACGTCTACATCTATCTTCTGTCATCTAATTACACGTCTGTCTGTCTATCTATCTCACATTAACATGTTCTCTTATCTCAGTACCACTGTCTCATCTCGCCACGGTGGCGAGATGAACTACCTCGCCTGGTATACAGGAGATCGTGGGTTCGATCCCAACCCTGACCCCTGCTGTATATTTGGAGTTTATATGTTCTCCCCGTAGTCGCGTGGATTCTTCTCCGGGTCCTCCAGTTTTTCCCTCCACTTTTATAAACATGCGTTTAGAGTATTTGGCTGCTATAAATTTCCACATGCTAAGCCACTTCGTTGAGCTATCATTTGTGGCCAGGTCGCTTCTGAAAAATATCTGTATAGCTGCTGAGTGGGTCTAACCTGGTAAAATAAAAATAGTTTATTAGTTTATTTTTCACATCTCACTTCTGCGTCTATCCTGTCTACACCTACTCCCATCTCACTACATCTGTACTTTGTCAATAGCTCTCATCTCACTTCATAAGTTTCTTTAGTTTATCCAGTAAAACCTCTCGGGGTCCTATTCGGATTAACTGGGATTTGGGGTACGCCGGGAAGGCTACTGAAAAGCAAATAAAAATGTGAACCCCCTCAAAAACCCTCTGATCACAGCACTGTTTGCGCGGTATACAGGCTGTAGAGCACCGTGGAAAAGCGCGATGTTCATCTTGTGCAGGCAATTGCCATCCGTGACCATTTAATACAGCATATTCGATTGGCGCGCAAGTGTACTATCAGTTGTAAAGTGCTCCACAATTGCTCCCCTGATATCCGTTGTATGGCGTTAGGTGAACATTGCACTCGTACACGACTCTCAGACTCTTAAACTGTACGGTGCACGTCATTTTAGAGGGGTTATTAAACAGTAAAACATAAAATAGTAAAAAAATGTGGTATTTATTTATTAACTAATCACATGTCAGTGAAATGTGTGAGGTGTGTATTACTTATAAATGAAATGTAACTTGTATAATTATTAATTGTGGTATGCTGGATGTCCCCTTTAAATGGAAACATTCTTTCCTTACTGAGTCTGGCTGTCAAAGTTTTACTGTATTTCTTATAGTCAATATATGTCTCACCACTTCTCTAACATTGTCTACATCTCTTAAGACTACTCTTTGGGTTTGATATAATGTCTGGCTGGATACCTAATTTAATTGTTTGGCATTTAAATGAATAGCAAAAAACGTGTTAAATGTACCCCATAAGTTTACCAAAACTATAAAATAGTAATTGTTGCTACATAGCGGGTGATCTAGGCCTTCCTCGTGACACAAGTTTATAGAAATTTGAGTTACTTTATTGAATGGTTTCTCGGGTGTACATGGTTGACGTGGTTATAACAATGTTTACATTTTACAACATGTGCACACGATACACCTAAATGAAATTGTGCACACGTGGGGGGCGGCTGCACTGAGTGCGCGTTTATCCCAACGCAGGTCACGTTTCAGACACCTCGACGCGACCCTGTCACCAAGAAGCCGCTGTCTCCAGCGGAAGGCGTGTGGGGAGGAGGCCTCCCCGTTGCCGCGCGCGAGGAGGAGACCCCTTCGTCCCCACTACAGCTCGTAGAGTCCAGCCCTGCGCCGCCGCCGCTGCTGCTGCTGGGGGCAGGGGGAGACCTTGCTGCGGTGCAAAGCACAGGAGCCGGGTAAGATCTCTCTCGGTGATGCTCGTGGGGCGATGACGTTGCCTCGGCGGTAGCACGTTTGCCGCTTGTCGTGGAGGTAGCGAGATGTTAACAACCTCGTTTGGTAGCAGGAGGTCGTGTGTTCGGTCCCGACGCTGTGATACCTGCTGTGTATTTGGAGTTTGCATGTCTCTCTCTTCCCACTTGCATGTATTTTTCTCTGGGTCCTCCGGTTTTCCCCTCCCATTCTAAAACATGCTTTTAGAGTATTTGGCTGCTATAAATGTCCACATTAGCCACTTTGTTGAGCTTTCATTTGTGCCCAGGCCACTTCTGAAAAAGAGCTATGCAGTTGAGTGGGCCTTACCTGGTATAAAAAATAAAAATAAAGTTTTAATTTAGGTTCACAGTTCAAATCGACCAGCTGCCCTAGTTAATACTAAGTCTGTTATAACTGCCAAAATACGTGCCGTCTGCTTCACAGTTGACATTAAAGATCCCATGATGTAATTCTCAAGAATAGGCCATTATGTGCTGGCGTCATGGTTCACATTTGAAAAATTACCAGCAAGTTTCTCAATTTGGATTATGCATAGCAATCATCCCTTGGACTGCAAACTCTTGGCTAAGGCCCTCCTGAAAAAACAGTTGCGAGGCTTTCCTGGGTAAGCAAGTGTGGTAATAAAAGAAAAAGAAAACACATCCTCAATATACCGGTTTTATTAACCAAATATAGTTGCACGATGTTGAAATTGTGGTTTAGTGCACAATTACATTTTTAAAAAATCATTGAATAGGACTGCAGATGATCCTTTCCCTGCTGTCGCTGCCACTCCTGTAAGAACTATATAATTGTAATCAGAACTATTTTTTTTTTCATTTTATTTTATATTCTATCTACGTGACTACCGAAAGAACCAAGAATATGAACTATATAATTACCCACAGTCCCAGAAATACTTAAGTACAATCACACGAAGCGTGCTGGCTGATTGCTGAGCAGTCTCCACCCCCCCGCCTAGCGAGGAGCAGCAGAGGGTGTCACCCGTGCAGCCAGCTGTGTCCATTACAGCGTCACCGTCGATACCTTTACCATGCTTTGTAATGCTCAAACAATCACCCCTATCTGGCATCTTCATTGCTCTCGCAAGGAGGTAGGAAACCCCATCTCATACACTTAGTTATATGGGAATGTTTTTGTTTATATATGTAAATAAATTTGAAATCACCCATGAAATATTCCCTTAAACCTTGAAATCATTCCGAATAACTTGATCTGCCCCGTCTGAGCTCACACATTGACAATGCATCCCTAGTCTTGTCGTCGGCACCGTTCCCTTACAATGAAGATTATTTAACATGTAGGAATTCGCAGGCAATGTTATTCTTCATAATTGATTTGTATTTTAAGCCCAATTTCTGTTATGACCTTTCATAAGGAAAATGCATTGGAACTAGTCAGGTGAATAAATTATAAATTAATAGCTGTAATCAGTTTTAACAGCATTGTGACAAAGTGCCATTCTTTAGTGGGCAACATTTAACATTGAAGTTATGCAGTGGGTCTCAGAAAAAAGCAGATTTGCATCCTGAGCCTATGTGTACCTGTTGAATCTACAAAGTCTGCTTGCAATTGTCTGAGAATGTCCAGCTATTCTTGGCCTCGCACACCATCCTGACCAAACGCCTTTTGTCAAGCAAAGTGTATGGCCGTTAACTGGCCCTTAAATAAGTGTAGGGCCTTGTCAAGCGCTAGCAAATGGCTTTCTGTGGCTGGGCATGGCCCTGCCGAAAGGACACCAAAAACACCGTCTCCCCTTCACGGTGATGGTGACTCAGATGAGACCATTCACTAACCGTGGCTATTTATAAGTGTGATTAAACAGTGGAGGTGGTGTGTGTTGCAATGGACAGTGTTTATAGAAATTACCGAGTATTTCAGTAAACATTATTTTGGAGTGGAGGTTTTCAATTTCTGTGCAGTACTGTTATAGAATTTAGGTAAATGACTTAGTTGTTCCAGGAATGGCAGATAAATTTGGAAAAATTGTTTCATATGTTAGACCTAAAATAGATTTTGTACTGCAATACGACATTTATGTTTTTTCCTTTATTGATTGTCTTCTGTTCATGTAACAACTTTCACATAACCCAAGTTTTCCAATGTCATTTCTATCTCGACTGCTTGCCTTGTAAGAAAAGTGCTTCCCAACCTTGGGTCAACAGATTCTACCATTAGACTTAAGGGGATTCATAACGGAATATGATGTGTACAGGGTTGCAGTATTAAAGTACAGGCATCCACGATTTTCTCTTGTCAACTCAAGCTCTACAGAAAAACTGCTATGTGTTTTACTGTGCATCAAATGTAATATTTGAATGCATAAAATTCCTGTCGAGCAGCTTATCTGGAGTGCTGTTTGCAGGGATACAACAGCCCTCACTGCAGTGGAGACTAAGATTCCAATGGGGACTTCAGAGAGTACATAATTAAAAAAGGTTGGGAACCACTGCTGTAGGAATCCTGTATGGAGAGAAGCTTCTTGTGTTGATTGTTATGTTCTTGCTTTAGATTGCTTGTCTTTCTGTTTGTTAACATTGCTTTCTTCTATATGTCTTGAAATGTGTCCTCATACCTTTGCATCCACTAAAACGTGTGTCTTTATCTCTACAGTGTCGTTGCTGATGGTGACACCATTAGCAGCGATCCACTTCTTCACATTTCCACTGCACTAAAAGAACCTCTCAATATGGAGTGCATAACCTCTCATAACATAGGCGTTTCTGAGCTCGAATCTCAAGAAGTATTGGCTTCCGATTGTCACTTGAAAATACAAAATAGTAATTTTCCTCCTAACAAAGGAGAAATAGTTGAAAATCTCTGCTTTGGAGATGGGAGTGATACTTTGGAACCAAATGATGTGCAAGGAAATGAAACGTATTCACTAGCTATTACCACATCACATGAACAACGTATTGAAAACAGTACATCAGAATCGGTGACTGTAGAACAGCTTAATACTCCATGTACAAGTTGTGCAGACGATACGCTTACAACAGTAGGTGCCGATGACCAAGAGAGCCACGATGTGGGATCTGCCACCTGTGCTGAATTTATTTTCAATCCTGGCTCGGGCGACTGCCAAGAGAACACCAGTAAATTATCACTTGATGAGGATTCTGACACCGAGTTGTTTTGTACATTTGCGACCGATGCACATGATGAAAATGATTCGGGTGAAATTGAGGACACAAATGAGAGTTACAATGCTGCACATTCAGATCTTTCTGACAAGTCGGCTTACAACACAATTGAAGAAGAATGTAGCCTTGAGAATGACGTTACTCGTGACCCTCAAGAGGACATTGAGCGTCTCAGTGTTGTCCATGCAGATCGTTCCGACACGTGTGCCGAAAGCATAGACGACGCTCCGCTTGAAGGAAACTGCCGTATTAATGATTTTGTCGGTCAACCTCAAAGTGGCATTGATAGTGAAGTTGAAGATAATGCAGAAATTGAACCGCCTGGAGAGTTGGGCAGAGATGCAGCTCGTCATCCTGAAACAAATAAAGTTATAACGGAAGTGAAGGATTCGGGTAACCAACTTGACGTACTACAAGCTGAATTAAAGTTCAACTCTGACTTGTCCTGGCAAACAACGAGTATCCCTCTGTCATCGAATTTGAACGACCATGGGGAAGAGTGCATTACCCCGCGTTTGGAAACAGGAGACTCGAGTGAACTTCGTCACGGAGCCCCCATCATAAATGAAGAAGTCTGGCTCTCTGATGCCGTTCAGGACGAACCTGCATCTCACGGAGATGTGGTTGCTATTGGAACAGCCTGCACCCTTTTTCAAGATGATGTTAATTCTTTGGTTGAAACCGGTCCCCATGGTGATGCAAATCATTTGCTTCATGACGTCGATTACTTGATTGAGGAAACAGCAAATGGAAAGGAGATTTACAAGGCAAATGAGAATGGCACGATTGAAACACAGCAGCAAGAAGAGCGAATTGAAACCTCGAGCAGCGTGAGTGAAGAGAGCGTGCTGCTGCTGCACCCTGAGAGCAGCGCGAGTGAAGAGAGCGTGCTGCTGCTGCACCCTGAGAGCAGCGCGAGTGAAGAGAGCGTGCTGCTGCTGCAGCCTGAGAGCAGAGCGAGTGAAGAGAGCGTGCTGCTGCTGCACCCTGAGAGCAGAGCGAGTGAAGAGAGCGTGCTGCTGCTGCAGCCTGAGAGCAGAGCGAGTGAAGAGAGCGTGCTGCTGCTGCACCCTGAGAGCAGAGCGAGTGAAGAGAGCGTGCTGCTGCTGCACCCTGAGGGCAGCGCGAGTGAAGAGAGCGTGCTGCTGCTGCAGCCTGAGAGCAGAGCGAGTGAAGAGAGCGTGCTGCTGCTGCACCCTGAGAGCAGAGCGAGTGAAGAGAGCGTGCTGCTGCTGCACCCTGAGAGCAGCGCGAGTGAAGAGAGCGTGCTGCTGCTGCACCCTGAGGGCAGCGCGAGTGAAGATAGCGTGCTGCTGCTGCACCCTGAGAGCAGAGCGAGTGAAGAGAGCGTGCTGCTGCTGCACCCTGAGGGCAGCGCGAGTGAAGAGAGCGTGCTGCTGCTGCACCCTGAGAGCAGCGACTCGCTCGCTGATCCACAACATCGGATTGCAGATGTCAGTGAAGAAATGCCATCGTGCTCTGACAGAGCCCCAGAAGACCAAAGTCCGATGTCTTCCTTAACCATTTCCAGCATCCACAGTGTGGTGGTCCCTCTGAGGTAATAATAATAATACAGGTTCCTTCACACTAACAGTGTGAGCTTGAGTTGTGCCAGCAACATCACAGTGCACCCAGCGCAAGCCTTCCTTGCCATGCTGGTGGCCATGCTGTCCAAATTATCTTTTAATTTTTCAAATTAAGAGAGGGAAAAAACACAAACATGCTGTACAAAGTATACTGGTTTAAAATGTCTTTAAAAAACATAATTTGCAATAATTGCTAAATAAAATAAATATAAATCAAGCATTTATTTGGGGCGATGTTGCTGTGTATTCTCCAAATTTAGTAATTTTAGGGTGATTTTTCCAAATTTAGAGCGTTGTGTCGGCTTACATTGCCTATTCTTGTTTACATAACATCACGGGATCTGTGGTGCTCAGTGTGAAGCAGACGGCCCGTATTTATGGTGAATACACCCACAGTATTAACCAGGGTGGCATTAGGGTTTGAACCATGAATCTCTACAACAAATGACAAAGGCGTTACCGCTCAGCCATGTCACTGCCCCAATATACAACCGATTTTCCCTCTAGGGCAGGGGTGGGGAACGTCCGGCCCGCAGGCCGTACAAGGCCCGCAAAATCATTTAATCTGGCCCTGCCAAGGCAACCGCAGGCGGGACTCGAAATTCAATAAATCTAGGAGCAAACCTGGAAAAGCAGTTGCGAGTAGCAACATCATCAATACCAGCTAACGTCACACGCCTCGCCAAAGAGACGCAGTTTCAGCCATCACATTAGGGGTGAGTTAATTAAATGTTTGACCAAATATAACAGGCTCATTTTTAAGCTGATAATTTTGTATGGCCCGCAAATGATGTTATAAATATCCAAATGGCCCTTGGCAGAATAAAGGTTCCCCACCCCTGCTCTAGGGGCTTGTAACCTACCAGTGAGTCCTATCCTCTATCCGAGGGCCTTTAGAAGTAGACTGACAAGACAAACAAACCTCCAGGGCTTGTAACAATCCACTGAAATCCCACGCATATGTTGTAAACCTGCTTGCTGTGCTTCCACTGCAACCATCTCATTGGCTTGTCCCATTCAGTCTACGTCTCTTCTTGATCCACCCATACTGCTTCCATAGTTGCTGGATTACAGGCAATGTGCCACCACGTCTGGTCCGAATACAGCTGGAGCACAACGGACTGTTTTGTACTTCCGAGGTGTAATCTAACTTATGATTGTCCTCCCGTTAACGTGAATTGTGAGTGCAGAGTGCGAGCGATCGCTTCATGTGCGTGCTGTATGCTGTGGTGCGCCGCTCGCGGCTGGCGATGGTCTTTAAGTGGCACACGATAACTCGGCGCCTCTGTTTCACCGAATGACTTGTGATCTCCGTTGAGGTCTTCTCACGTTAAAAGCAATTGTAGAACCTCTTCAGCCCCCGTAGGCACATGCAACAGCTGCTGCAAGCTCGGTGTTTGATACTGAAATTTTTTTGCAAACATCAGCAGTTATATCCCAGTGGCACAACTTTCGCCCAATTGGCTTTGGAATGGCATAGTGTGGCTGTAGAGTAAAGAGATTGATGCTTCGGCACCAAATGAGACACCCGTGTGAAGTAGAAGCAAGACTTGTGCTGCGTGCCACCGCTCGCTTCTTTCGCCTTTCCAGACGTGTTTGTCATTGCAAGACGTCTGGTTCCGATTTAAACTATTTTCAATTCATTTGCCATGTCAAAACTCTGTGAAAAAGTTAACTTTATAGATAAAAAAAATATTCTCACTCCCAGCCCCGGGACGTGGAGAGTTGGTGGGGATGGGTTCAAGAGTTGACTCTTGGGTCCCCGGGGCTCCTGGGGCATGAGGGAGGGGCTATAGCCCGGGCATTGCTGGCGATTCTGTGCCAAGAGCTGCAGCAGGACCTGACCAGTACTGGGCTGGCAGAATAGTGCAGTTTCTAGCCAGCGGAGTAATGAGGCATTCATTAAGTAGTTTAACACCAAGCCAGAGGACTTGATGAACCGGGCATCTAGATGTAGTACAGAACTGCATTTTCTAGCTGACCTGCACACAGCATTGAAACATTTTCATAACTAAGGTTACTTCGTGTTGCTTAGAGATGTCGTGTTTCCTTCGTGTTACTCCGTGTCACCATGTGTGTGTTACACTGTGTTACACCATATGTGTGTGTTACACTGTTACACCATATGTGTGTGTTACACCATATGTGTGTGCAACACAGTGTTACACTGTGTGTGACACTGTTTAGTGTTACACTATGTGTGTGTTACACCATATGTGTGTGTGTCTGTGTGTGGGTGGCTCAGCCTGGAGAGTGAGCCGTGCACCACCACCGGTACGGCGGGTGATGAGGCTCCGGAGCAGCTGCAGACCGGCCTGGACAATCCCTCACAACATCTCTCTTCATTTGACAGGTATTTTCAGTATCTTATTTCTACAGCAATTAATAATGAACTCCTGCAATGTGTTGTTAACTTCTGGGTTGTCTTCACAAGTCTTGAACGTTTGCGAAGTTCGCTTGATCCATTCCAGCTTGGTACCACGGACAGCCCAATTTGGCACAGTGCACTCTGTGTACCATTCCTGAGGTTCCAGTCTCGTGGAAGTGGGCGAGTGCAATGCTTGCACTGCGCTCCGTGTGCTGTAGCTCTTCCAACTTACCCTGAATTCTGGGTTATCTGAGTGGTGTCAAATAGGGTTTACTCAACATATGTATCCATTATTAAGTGTAGCGGGTGCCAAGAACATTTTGTCGCGCTATGTTTGTATTTCTTAACTCGCACCTAATACTCACCAATTGCACCAACACGCACCGTTGACACTTTTCACTCACGCTGTAACTCGTCACTGACATTATTAATCGCTAAACATCATGACATACACGGGCGCTTTTGTTAATGCCACTCACGCTCACCACTTACTAATGCACTCACCATTCACAGGCGCTGCTCACACGAGCACTCGCCACTTTACCACACATCCGATTGCACGGTTGGCTACGTACGGTGCGAGAGAAGTTCTACATGTACATACACATCCTCCTAGTACATGTGGCCCTGCCCTACATTTGAAGTGAGTCGACATGCATTGATCCACACCAGCCCCTTCCACTGTCTTAATCTCCTGCCCCCCCCCCCGTCCTACTCGCTCTGTTCGCTGTAAGGGGAACCGGTTTGTGCGTCATGCACACACCCAGTCTGAGTGCTGCTGCGTAGCCACTCGGCGATTCTATTTAGCGAACAGCTCATGATGTGTGCGACCCATGTTTATCTTGAGCGCTCTATTGCAACCTTCATGATTGAGTTCTTACGTAATTTATTTCAGTTAACATTAATTGCATACACAGTATGTATCTCTACTTATTGTTATTTTGCTTCGTTTTCATTTACCGTGGTTGGTGTCCCCGTTGTCGTTTGTTTCCCATGTGCTTCCTCCGATTTGTTGCCTGCATTGGTATTTGCATGTCCATGCACGGTTTCCCTTCCCCCACCTCTACAGCCTATATAAGTCCATGTGTGTGCCTCTCCATGTGTGTGTGCCTCTTGGTGTGGTGTTGCTCGTTGTGTCCCTCTGTACTGCCCATAACACCTTTCCCTGTGTCTTCTCAGTGTATGTATCTCTGCTATCTTTTACCTCGTGTCTGTTCACGAGTCCCTTATCCTCTGTTTATGTTGGTGTTTTCAACCTTTTGAAATACGTGGTCAACCAGGTTCAGTGTCTAACTGTGTTGTTGGCCGACTGGGTTGCATCGCATTATGTTTCTAAGGTTTGCTGAGTTCGCGTCTCCCATCTGCTTGCTGTATTTGCCTCCGTGCAGTTTGCCGTCCTCTGTGTACTCTGTGTGTGATGTCCCTCTGTGTGTTCCCCCGCTGTGTGGTTTACGCCATTTTCACCTGAGGACGAGTGCTTGTGTTGAGTTCGAAACGTCGTGATTTATTTTTATTTATTTCTTCATACGTGATTACCGAAAGAACCAATTCGTATATTAGTTTCATGTCATGACTGTCGGTTTACATTCATATGTAGGTGAAATGGCTACATTTTAGGGCTGGGTAGGGTTATGAAAAATGCTGAACAATGCAAAACATTTTATTTTATATCTAATATTTTTATGAAGGGCCTTGGATTGTAAGAACTTGGATGACTGCATCATTTACCACCAATTATAGAGCCTGGTCTGCTTTGGGAATTGGTATTGTATTGGTATTGTATTGTCTGTTATAGGATATGGTAGATCATATATGGGTAGTCAAAGATAGGACTAATACATTTTCCATATCTACTTGCTGATGTCATTGGTTGTCCTCTACATGTTTCATTATTTTGGTCCCTATGCTCTTCGTGAATGGTCTACAAGAGGGTATTATTGGTTTAGTGTACATTCACATCGCCTATGTCGCCTTGTCTCAATGTAATAATGAAAGAGGCATCATTATACAATGGAGGTGTTTAATTTTTGCGTAACTCACTCATAGATGGGGCTGCTTGGTTGTTCCCACAGCTGTCCTGCTTTCTTCTGGATCCCCACAGTGATCCCTTGTATCTATGGAACCTTTTTTGCCAGTATTTTTTGCAAAAGGTATCCATTTGCTGTTTAAACATCTTAACACCTGTTTTATTGCCAGAAAGGGTAAAACCTATTCCTATTTTTCGTACAGTGATTCCTTGCGTTTCTGGGAGCGGTCAATGTCTTCATTCTGCAAGTGTACAACTTCAAATTAAGTCGATGATGTGTCTCCCCCCAAGCTGTTTTCGTGATCTAATTTCCACAACACTTGCATCTGGCAATCGGTGAGTGGAAATATGATGTGGCATTTAAACAGTAGGTTATTTATAATTGTTACTTGGGAGGTATCTAAAATGTTCATCAAAGTCAATGATCCTGACAAACGTACGCGTAGAAAACAACCGCCCAAGTCCACTCTTGCTGTCTTGTTAAAGACTGCTGCCTCTGCGTGCCCAACGCGGGGATTCTCACAATCCAGCCCAGGGACTCGGGGCACATGTGGTGTTTTCCAGCATTATCGACTTTTGGTGTCACATTTAGTTTTCATTTCGTTTTCTGAGACTGGGGCATCATAACTGCATGATTGATAACTACAGTTAAAAGATACTAATTTTGGATATATTGAAGGTAATTGTATCAGCTTTGTATGCCTCCTGAGACTTGTACATTGAAAAGACTGATAAAGATGAGATATTGGCACTCGAAATGTATTGCTACAGAAGGATACTCCATCTAAGTTGGACCCAACGAGGGGCCAACATAGAAGTAAAATAAAGGTTGCACATCGAAGAAGACAACCTGATGATGCAGGCAGTGGCACTATTTGGACACATGTAGGATGGACAACAACAGGAAAATTAATAAAAGTGTTGTTCAGAGGATGACCTAACAGCGAATGTTTTGATGACGACAAGAGATTGGTGCCAGAGAGATGTGGCCACGACTTGAGCGTATTGGCACAAGGCAGAGAGGAACGTGGAAACGAATTTTAGCGTTATTATCTTTAAATTTATGAGACGATGTTAAGTGTTTATCAGAAATGGTGAGTGGTAACATGTTATTGCATTATAGCTGTGTGAATGACTACATTTTTAGGGCTGGGTAGGATCCAATCATCTTTCCTGCGGATATCATGAAGAATGCTGAACAAAGCAGTTTTAAAACGTCTTCCACATAAAATATTCAAATTTTCATTAAATATCAGCCAGGCCTGTGTTTTGGTAGGGCCACTGAGAGCCGTGTATTATTCATATAATACATAATTGCGTCGAAAATTTGGCGAGGGCTGTCCCGCCTGAAAAAAAGGCATACCGGATGTGATCTGTGAAGGGCTCTGATGGGCCCTGTTGTGTCGGTCAGCGTCAGGATTTGCAATCAGTGTCCTCCGTCTATAATGGGAAGCTCCACTACGTCTGATTCGTTTTTTGTTGATTCATTTTGCATATTTTTGTTTTTCAAAAATGTTAATATTCTGCTCACGAAGGTACATGTTGCATACGCAGCTCGAACTCGCTGTGTACATTAAATGTACGAGAAGTGAGCAAGGTAGATTTGTGGTGTATTTTAAAGCTTTGTTAAGGCTTTTTACCCACGTGCTTGGTTTAGCTCAGCAGGGCAATGAAATTCCATGGCAACCCCAATGCTGTCCTCTGTCAGGCTCATTCCACAAGCAGCAGGGAGAAGCCAATGGAATGAAAGGAATGTACCAGCTCAGTGAGATGGCAGGGAAGGAGAATTAATTAAGGATTCTTCCTCATTCACGTGTTAGCTTTTAACTGCTTTATTCTGATTTGGTTTTCTTTGATGTTTTTATCAATCCTCCCGTATTCTGCCACGTAAGCATAATGCGGTTGCTTTTCTGGAATAAAGAAATGTAGTGAGCTGCTGTTATTTGCAGAGGCAAAAACTGGGCTCCACCCTTGAAGGGAGAATGATGTAATGGAACTGCGCAGACACTGCAACGAGCCCTTGCTGAGCGCCTGCCAGCGGGGTGGGACTGCTCACATGCGAGCAGCGCCGCCGTAGCGTTTACAATGTAGCTGCGGGGAAAAAATACCGATTCTTGGTTTTCTGGGCTGCTTCATTTTAAACGGCGTGTCCTCCCAGTCAGTTGTGGGTATAATTGATGGCCTGGAGGTTTTTGTTGCAAGCAAAAGGCGACTTGTTTACATCTGCATGTCAATGAAGAAGCACTCCGAAGCAAGGCTGCTGTGGCAGCGTTGACGACACAAACCGCCCGTGCTGGGCCCGTTGCTCGGTGGGGCCGGGCGTCGTGCCGCCGTGCGCACCGCTGCCCCCCGCTGCCGGAGCGGCAGCGATGGGCAGCGTGCAGTCGCAGCAGCCCCCCGGGGTAGGCGTGCAGGAGACGGCCGAGCCACTGTAAGTGCTGCGTGCATCGTGTGCGTAGGCCCGCTTGTCTGCAGATGCACATGCTGCCCCGATTGTGTGTGGGCCCTGTAAAGCCAAGAAGACGTTTTGCCAGAAGTGTAGATTTTGTGCTGTTGTGCTGACAGACTATTTACCAAAAAAAATTGTGCAGTGTTTTGCGTTTGTGACTCGGCGAATGTTGTGGGGCTCACAGGTAGTGCATGCTGCCCGGAGCTGCTGTCGAGATGGATTGTTGCCTTCATTTGTGTCGCCTCCGTCTCTGTGTGCTTACGTTGTGTTCAGGTAGAATAGCGTCTCAATGTTTTATGGGAAGGCTTTTACCGTTCAAATTGAAAGAGCAAACCGTCTTGATTTTAATTTGATGAGTGAGTGTAAGTATACATTCGATTTTAATGTTTTTAGTTGGAACATTGACAAAAAAAGATTCAAATGTAACATTTTCTGCAATGAAAGCAGTGTTTGTGCTTTTTTTAATTTGGTTATAATTTGAATGATCGCTTGACTGACTGAAATATTTCCAGTTACTATAATAAAAGCCACATTCTAGTACTTGTCACGTCTAAGCCAAGAGCTTGTTTTATAGATTAGATCTGCTTTGTTTTCTTGCTGTATCTCCGTGTCTGGCTACGAACAGCCAACCACTGCATACAGTACAGCTGGGTTCTTCAACTGGTGGCACACAGCCCAGAGGCTGACCACGGAGCCTCTTGGAGTGGCCCGCTGGGACGTAAAGAGATGCAGATTAGTGAGATGAAAGAGCGATAAACAATAGCTAGAGATGAGAGAGCTGTCGACGATAGATACCAATCAGTGGTCACATGTACAGGATGGATCTGAAATGTAGACGCTGACGAAGCTAATTTGAACAATAACTGAAGAGTGTATATAGACTCTTTGGTTCTTTCGGTAAAGTCACGTAGGTATAAAATAACATTATTTTATTGTATTTTCTACCTACGTGAGTATGGATTTCTACAGTCACGAAAGCTTCAAATCAAAACTGAAGAGTGCTCAAAGAATCGTCGAGAGGTGCGGGATTGGCATTGCACGGAGAGAGAAAGAGGGACACGCGATTCGGAGAACAAACGCCAGTAGTGACGTGGGTTTGGGCAGGACTTGCTGTTGTTGGAAGGGGATCGTGGCTGTTGGTCTCGAGACTGATTAAAGAGTGGAAGCCAAAGAGGACGAGATGCTTAAGAGAGTGTCCGTGAAGGAGATGGAGCAGTGAGATAAGTTCCCACGCAGGAGCTGGGCGAATTGTTGCATCGTGTTGCCGTGAGGGATGACGATGACTTGGGGAGGACTCGTCCAGCAGTGGATCGGGTTGCCGTGTGATGTCGCGAAGTCTGCCCTTGACCTTTGGATGTGCGGACGTTACACGGCATGGCCCCAGCGGTATTGTGCGTTTTCCGATTGTTGGAGAAGTTGTCGCTTCCAATTTGGCAGGTTGCCTTGGGTAGTACCAAAAGAGTAATTACATTTGATGCCAGCATAGTTTGTGTGATTTTATTCGTTTTTTGGTATTTCTGATTTTCCCAGGAGGGATATTTTCAGAAAATGTCCTCTGTTGGTCGATGTTTTGACTCTAAAACCTTGCTTGGATTTACCATAGCAAACTGAAATAAATACGTGATAAGCAACAATATAAATGTGCACAAATTGTCATTGATACTGCACTTTAAGATTGTGTTTCCTAACCTCGGGGAACTGATGAGGTTGTAGACAATGACCAGTAAATGTTGAGCAATGCCCTGCTACCATATAGTTAATCACATAAATAATGCATATGCATGGCTGTACATCTAATAGAATAATCAATAGAGTACGAACATCTAGTCTTGATAATCATTATATGACTCTATACTGTTTTGTGGACTAAGGGATCATTATTTGCTTGTTATTCAAGGAATATCTCATTCGTAATACTTGCTGTTCATTTGCAGAAAGTTGACCCTGCTATGAAGGCGTTGTTTAGCACTGGTTTTAAACCTTCTGGTGTTTAGACCTCCCAGTCTAAGTCCACTGGCCCCTGTGCCACCAACACCCCCCCCCCCCTTGAGTTTCTGGAAGATTTTGGTAAAACTGATCAGCATTCTCCCAGACGTCTTCCTCGGCTGCCAGCAGTCTATCATGAAGTCTCGTCCACTGGATATATCATCCCTTCCAGCGGCGTGACCCGCCCACGTGCTCGCACATTTCGTATTCAATCTTCTGGTCATCCTTACTAAAGAGCCACTACAGTTGGCAATACTCAATACTAAGCCCATCAACTTAATTATGGCCCATGTCTATGTATAATAAAGTGGAGGATATGTGCTTTCTCTGCCTAGGAATCAATAACGAGGACGTGTAGAGAAGTAAATAATGGGAAAATGAGAAAACAGAATAGGCTCATGTGTTTATTACCGTGACGGACAGCTGATATACACATCAAAATGTTCAGCGATGTTAGATCTGGTCTCGATGCTAACATCATGGCCCCATCTGTCCAATCAGTGTGTGTTGCTTGTGGCGCAAAACCGTTTGCCAAGACTGTTTTGAGCAAAGTTGCATGTTGTGTACTCCAACACAACATGGCACCGTTTAACTTTTGTTTTATTAGCACGAATGCCACATTTGAGAGGAAATGTAGCGAGAGAGCTACTGCAACCAGAGGTTATAGACGTTTGTGGTGGGTATCTTTCTTATTTTTTCTCTCTCTTTCACCTTGTTCCCTCTGTAAATTTCACTAGCCGACGTTTACTAGCTTTACGTTTGCTAGCCTTACATTTACCCGTGAGTTGTACCCACCACAAACGTCTATAACCTCTGGTTGCAGCAGCTCTCTCGCTACATTTCCTCCTGCCTCAGCAGTCCGCCTGCTGTATTGTTTCACCTGAAGATGATGGCTTGTGTTGCTATCGAAACGTCGTGATCTATTGGTATTTTTTCATCTACGTGACTTTACTGAAAGAACCAAAGAGTAAGAGACAAGTTAAAATGCAAGCAAATTCAATATTCTTTCCCTCTTTGCTAAAGACCTGTTTGATGTATTTTATTGTTTCAGTCTTCAATAGTTTGGTTTGCTACTGAAGGACCTTTTTAAATATTATATAGTCCTTGCTTTTGGTTGCTTTTATATCATGTCCTTACAAGTGCCAGCTTACCCTAAACATTTTGCTACAGGCTGGGCTACATTCCTGTATTAAAGAAGGCTGTTGATCTCTTACGTTCTTTGCAGGAGCTCCGATTCGGAAGGCGCATTTGAAACCCCAGAACAAACAACACCAGTCCACGCCGCACATGTTCAGCAGGACGCACTCGACGTTGAGGCAGAGTTTGCACAACTCAACTTGGGAAACCCCACTGGTAAGATCACAACTCTCTAAGGAGTGCGAGATTGGGGGATATTTGCTTGGCCATCAGCCAATTCAGTAGTTTAGGTTATCTTGGTGGCATGAGGTTGGTTTGATCATTTGTGCCTCTGCAATGCTACATTGTTTGTGGCAGCGTTATGGGTAGGTGGAATATAATTTGAAAGTGGTGACTTATCAAGGGTGAGGACAGACCCCTTTGGTAATACAACTCCCAAAAGCAGTTGAGCCTCCAGTAGGCCAACGATGGTAACATCAGGGTAGCGGAACCCTGGAGTGATCCATGACAACCGATGGCAGATGACCCTTTACGAGTGACAATCGTACCTATAACAGTGGTTGGTTTTGGGTAAGTATAGCAAAACCAAAGACGGATTGATATTATTAGTATTTTTAACATGGCTGAGAAACATTTAGGCCTCGGCTGATTTACAGTAATGTCCTGCGGAGGACCTTGCTGAGAAAAAGTCAAGTTACAACAGTGAATAAATCACGACGTTGCAGACACTTGAGTAGCATACGCATTCGAGAAAAACAACATTCAAGTCGTGCACCACTCAAGCAGCACTGGCAGCAGGTAACACAGAGATGTAACGCTAACTGGCGGGGGGGGGGGGGGGCTTCACGAACCACTTGCGCAAGAAAAGGGATGTCTAAAGGAATACTTTTAGAAGGCCAGAGAAGGAAGGGATTCCAGCTGAAACCACCCAGTGAGCTCGTTCCAAAAGTGAACAGTGGCAACTAAATTACTCCTCACCATAGCCGGAGCTCACTACAGGTGTGTTAATGAGAAATTTCGAGGAGCTTCTAAGGCAGCGTGATGAGGACTGCAGAGAAAGGCGGTCACAGAGGTTTTGGCTGATTTGTTTTGGAGCCTCCAATAAGCGAATGGCAGCACAAAGATTGGGAGAGGGTTATCGACTGGCCTATGTTTCACCATAAACCAACCACTATGCCATGAGTTCAGATACAAGCTCGACCTCCAGCTTGTTTAAGCATTTCATGAGCAGGCCATGTATCCGAGATTTAGGTACAATATAAACGACAGAAATACGTCAAAATATGGCAGCAAACAAGACAGACTGTAATAGGGATGACACAAATGAGAAAGACGGCACAAATGGACAGTGAAAATAACAGCCAATACAAACGAGACGGTATGCATGAGGCAGGCCCTACACATGAAGTGATACACGGTACAAATAAGACAAAATATTTCTGACACCATAGAGAAAGTAAAAAGAGAGCGAGGTACACAGCAGGGGGAGGGAGAAGCTGTGCTGGAGGCTGTTGAAGCAGAGGTGGTGTGTGCGGAGCCACGGAACGGGCACGACGACCGTGGCGCCCGTCAGGTTCTCTACAGTTTCTCTACAGCGTAGTGGAGAGGAGCTTTTGATGAAACTCACTTCATTGGTCCTTGCGTTTCACTTCGTATGCTGTCTGACTGCATTTAATATATACACACACACTTCGCATATTGGACAACAATCATTATTATGCTTCCATGGTATGGTGGCTCTAAAATGGATGAAGTAGCATACTCTGACATCATTGAATGTGACATTTTAAGTGCAGGTACAGTGTGAGTTTTGGCTGAATAGAGCAGAAGTATCCGATTACCGCCCGTTTATATTACTCATTTAATAGTGGTGATGATCTGTACGGACCAATCCCGTTTGAGATTGGATTGGCCCATACTGGCTTTACAGGATTAAAACACATCTAGGCATCTGGTTACCTTCCCATTGTTTACCTTCGGCAATCATCGGCATGTTGCTAACAACAAGAACTACCTCCCGAGTCCGGCACTCAGAGCTCACTCGAGTTTGTGAATCGAGGCAAGCCCCGGGTAGAGAAGCGTGGGGACTGGGTGCGTAACGGTTAGCGCCACTGCGAACCCGGCGACCCGAGTTCGATTCCTGCTCAAGGTCAACACCAGTAAGGATTGTCTGAACCAGTTCAGGACTCCCCTAGGTCGACTCACCCTCAAATGAGTACTTTGTGCGGTGTGTAAACTTCGTCGCCTCGGAGACAAATGCAGCTAAGCATGGTGCTCGCAACCCACCCTCTCTCGTGTGCCACCTTCGCTAAAAGCACTTGCCCCAAAATTCTGTCAAGGCGAAAAGGGGAATCTTTGTCTTGTCAACTCTGCCTGTGTGATCATTAATATTGATGAGCGTGCGAGGTGTCTTGCTGGTGGGCAGAGCAGGAGACATTAACATTGTCTTCACTCGCAGGCCGCCACTCACCCGCTAATTCATCATCATGACCAGCCATGAATCGTGCGACAATTTTGATGTGACGCATAATTTAGTGTCATTTATCCTAAATATTAATGTAATTTCCATGTATAGCATATTGCATCTTATTGTTGGAAAGCTGCGTCCGTCAAAGATCTGGCTGCCTTCGTGAACCTTGGCACTGCTTAAGCCTCTTTTTAAATGGCTGTCTTTTTGTATACCTTCGTTTAATAGAATGCCAATGTGATATATTTCAGTGCAGTTGTTTTTTCATAAACAAACATTTTGTTGCACAAAGTTGATTGTTGAACGAATGCACTAATCTGATTTATTTAATAAATGTCCAAAATGAGCTTTACATCAATTGTTGTCTTTAAAACGTTTACAAAAGGTGTTCATTTATTATAAACTTTTTTCCCTTTTTGCAGATTTGTTTCCCGAGTGTTTTGCGACCTCGTTAGAAGCGTCTGCGAGTGCGCAGCTCCCCCAGGAGGCTCCACAGGAGACTGATGTGGACACCCCGAGCGGAGCGCCTGTCGAAGCAGACGTTGCCATTCCCCTTGAAGACCCCCTGGCAGCTCCCACCAGCCCGAAACTCTTTGACGAGAACGAGCCCATCGCCAGTAAAGGAGCCTACGCCCTTGACTTCGAAAACCTTTGCAGCAATGTCCTTCTTGAGGGGGTATCCCAGGTGGAAAGGGAGTGTGGCCAGGCACTGAACCGACTGCTGGAGACTTCTTTGACCGGAGAGAAAAACCCCGCCCCAGATGTTGATACTTTTGTGCAACAACCTCATGCACTGGTACTGAAGGCAAGTCCTCGGACAAAGAAGACAAAAACGCAAGCTGATAAAACAGCCATCATTGATGCTTCTGCAAAACAGGAGGTTGCACTGGAAACTCGTACAGACACTGCTGAAAATGAACCAGGGAAGTTGTCATTGAATGGCAATTTCCCAAATGTGGAAAATTCTTCAGTTGCAAATCCTTTGTGTAGTTCCTCTAGTGCAGAATATGTTGGTTCTGTACATGAGAACAACATGATGACATCAGAGGTAACTATTCCTGCAATTCCCTTGGAGGAAAAGAGCACCGCGTTTGTCTTGGACCACTTACCGCATCAGCCAGCCACAGTTAACATTGATAGTCCTTCAAGTGCTGGAGGACAACATTTTGATGCAGACATCGTTGGTGCTGTCCCTGCAGAAACCAACCTACCGCAGTCTCCACAGCTTCCACAAGCTTCTTACACATTCGATCCCTACAGCTACGATGATTCTGTCAACCCATTTCAAATTGGAGGATCCAAATTACAGAATTCTCCTCCTTTTGACCGCAAGCAAGCTTCCGTTGCAGCCTTTGCTGAACCAGAAGCACAGGTAGTTACCTCTCAACCAGAGAAAGGGGCTGTTAAGCTTGAGTTTGACTTCTCGGACAACAAAGAGAATGCAAATGACCCTGAAAAGAAGCACACGCCACCTAAACGGTTGGGTAGAAAACCAGGAGCAAAGGGGTTGCCTAAGAAGAAGGCCACGCTCAAGAAACCAGCAGTGGTGCACGATGTTCCACCTGTTGCCGAGGCTGCAGTAGCTGCAGATGCTGAGGGAATTTTATTGCCTAAAAGTTCCTACGAATTGGACTTCTCCAAACTCGATGACCCCAACTTTAATCCATTTGGTGGAGGGCCAAAGATGCAGAATTCGCCCAAGCTGCCTCGTACATCCTATACTTTCGATGCGGACAACATTGAAAGTGTGAACCCGTTCAAATCCTCCATGAAGATGTGTTGTTCCCCACCTAAACCCACTGGCTTTGAGATCCCACCTGATATGGGGACCTCTGTGGAAGCCGAAGACTCCACCGCGCCTGTTGCACCTGGGAAGTCTCCGCTGAAAAAGAAGAAGCAGCCAGTAAAAACGTACGTATAGAGAACTGTTGTCGTGCAGCATCGTCTTACGTTACACAAACACCTTGGGCAGAAACAAAGGGATGTAGCAGTTTGCTTACATCGTGCATTCACAAATGTTGGACTGAAATGCGAAAATGTGAAAAGGGATATATGAATATGCGAAGACTGTAATTGTAATGCATTCTTAAATCTTTAATTATGAGCATCTATAAATGTAAGTGCAGTCGACTGGATGTGCGCTAATTGTAGAGGACTCGGCTAATTGCATACAAGCAATTTTGACAATTGAAAATTATTTAAAACCAATCAGATTTTGCATTTGAAGGCCAAGGGAAGGGTTGGATGAAGCTGGATGTGATAATAGGAGTGTGGTACAGCAGAAGGAGTGCAGACACATGCCATAGTCTTGATCATAGAACCATGAACACATCCATCCCACTGCTCGTCATAGATAATCGTTGCTGTACGCCATTGCAGAGCAGAATTTGGCACCACCTGAAGTGGCACGTCTTTAGTAGTACCCATGTAGTTATGTGGCTGATTATTGTGGGTACCCACGTAATCACGTTATTCAATGTTGATGGCCACATCACATTTGACTGATAAATGAGATATCTGGTCTAGGCTCAGGGACGACGTCTGCCTACAGTTTATAGTGTTTCACAGAGCTATTGAAAGAAATAATTCCATTCCTTTTTGTCCATTTTTGCAACCATTAATTAATTCCTCTTGTACCTCCAAAGATGTGCTTTTCTCCGTGTACCAGGCAGGACAGTCGTGACTCGTGTGTTTATCTTTGTGCCTAATGTGTTAGGTCAGTGTCCCCCATGTTCAAATGAACATTTGGCAGTGCTCATCCCTGTTGATTGTCCGCAGTCAGTGGTGGGAAATTTCACATTCCTACAGCAGGGACCATCAGCCACATAGAGGACAACAACCTCTGTGTTGACATCTCACTGGAATGGGGCAGCCTGCCCCAGTGGTGCAGCCTCCCCAGTGGTGCAGCTTCACCCAGTGGTGCAGCTTCACTCACTCAGTGGTGCAGCTTCACTCACTCAGTGGTGCAGCCTCACCCAGTGGTGCAGCTTTGCTCACTCAGTGGTGCAGCCTCACTCACTCAGTGGTGCAGCCTCACTCACTCAGTGGTGCAGCCTCACTCACTCAGTGGTGCAGTCGTGGTGCAGCCTCACCCAGTGGTGCAACTTCGCTCAGTGGTGCAGCTTCACTCAGTGGTGCAGCCACACCCAGTGGTGCAACTTCAGTCACTCAGTGGTGCAGCCCCCACAGTGGTGCAGCCTGCCCCAGTGGTACAGCATCACCTAGTGGTGCAGCTTCACTCAGTGGTGCAGCCACACCCAGTGGTGCAACTTCACTGACTCAGTGGTGCAGCCCCCCCAGTGGTGCAGCCTGCCCCAGTGGTACAGCCTCACCCAGTGGTGCAGCTTCACTCAGTGGTGCAGCCACACCCAGTGGTGCAACTTCAGTCACTCAGTGGTGCAGCCCCCCCAGTGGTGCAGCCTGCCCCAGTGGTGCAACTTCACTGACTCAGTGGTGCAGCCCCCCGAGTGGTGCAGCCTGCCCCAGTGGTGCAGCTTCCCCCAGGGGGCTTTGCGTTACTGACCTTGCACAGGTGGCCAGGCTACGTGAACCATGCCTGAAATGGAATTTGAGATCTCACTTATATATAATTTGTTATTTTTAATTCAATCCCTTAATCTACATGTCTGTAATGGGTACGGTTTTTTCAAAAGCGAATGCATTTTCTACAAAAGTAAAACTTGTGTATCTGATGATTTATATTGTCGAAAGCTAGCACCAAGCATGCCACGTTATATAACAGTACAATTATCAATATAAAATAATGTAAATCTTTTAAACTAAAACCAAACTTTTTATTTCATCAGAGAAGGCCCACTGAGCTATATAGCTCTTGTCAGAAGCGATCTGGCCACAAATGATGTGTAATTAAGTGTTTAATACTACTTAAATATCAGAATGACAAGTCAAGACATATGTTCCTATTTAAATATATATTACAATAGTACTAATAGTGAAACATGTACAATGTTCAGGTAAGTGGATTGGCTAGGGGAAGAGGGCAGCTGGGGTGGGGGGGTGCAGAGGGAGGGGGTAGCTGAGGGGGGGGATGCAGAGGGAGGGAGAGGGGGGAGCTTGGGGGTTGTTGAGGGACTCTATCTGTTCCCCAGTGCTGCTTGTGGTGCAATTTAAATACCACATCCCCCTGCCGAGTGTCGGGCTGTCCAATGTCTTGCCCACAATTATGTTTTCCAGTCAATGATTAATCACTGGAATGTTACTGCTTTTGAGATTTTGACGTGGCTCTTAAGTTGCTCATAGGCCAAACAATTTAAGAACTCGTGGACTAGATGATTTCAAGACATGTTTTTTCTGGGAATTATTCTCACTACATCATACACAGGAATTATGTCGTAGTTTCAAAATTTTTTTTTAACCTATCTACATGACTTTAACGAAAGACCCAAAGAATATGAATAGGAATTATGTCACACTGTAACAATTCTTAAATCACTAATCTGGCAAAAAATGTAAACACACCAATAAATCAGGAACGTGCATGAACTGGGAGTAAAATAATACAGTTACATTTCAGCTTTACAAACTGATTACCAGGTGGGCCATTGCATAAACTCGCCACACTGCACACCCTGCCTCAATCTCACTTTGGTCCCCCCCCCCTCCAGTGATGTCATTAGTGCGGTGTCAAAAGGGTTTTCAACTTCTATGGTGCAACCCAAGCTTGTGTGTGGTTAGGAGAGGCACCGTTGTTTGGGCAGAGTTGTCATTTTGGTTCCCCTCTTTGTTCAATGCCATCCACGTTGTTGGAGTCCATTCACTGGAACAGGAGATGTGGGAGGGGCAGCAGAACAGGGTGCCACGCTGGCTATGAGATGTTAACTACTTCGCCTGGTATGCAGGAGGTAGTGGGTTTGATCCTGACCCTGACGCCTGCTGTATATTTGAAATTTGGTCGCGTGGATTTTTCTCTGGGACCTCCAGTTTTTCCCGCCATATTTAGAAACATGCGTTTATAGTAATTGGGTGCAACAAAAATTCCACGCGATAAGCCACTTCCTTGAGCTATAATTTGTGGCCAGGTCGCTTCTGAAAAAGCTGCATAGCTCAGTGGTACCTTAGCTGGTAAAATAGAAAAAAGAAATGTACATGCAGGAGTTACAATGGATCGCTTGCACTCAGAGGGAGGTTTGTGTGTTCGGTTGATGGTTGTTGACCGTGAAGACCTCAGCTAGGGCATTGCAGATTTGGGAAGTTTGGTACTGAGATGGGGAATGTGAGGGATTTTGAGGGGAGGGTTCCAAAAAACTAAATAATTATATCTATTTTTTCTCCATTCCTACGTGCATTTATTGTGAGCGTTTATTAAGAATACATTATTTTGGACTTGATTATCTTGGCAGCATGCGATGACGTGCAGTCATTCGTATCATCACAGTGTTAGGAATTTTTTCTTTGAGGTCGTAGAAGGCTGTATTTAGTAAATGTGGTGTTATGCGTTGACGTTTTTTTTTTCATTTGTGGTCAACCGATATTGATCCTTTTGCGGATGTACATTGGAATTGACTCACAAGATCAAACTTTCATAGACCGATGTCATTGACTACAATACCGGTTTACAAAATTATTGCCTCAGCCAATGCGTCCAAAGTGCAAAAACAAATGTCTCTTCACCATGACATCCCACAATCACAACGCCTTTCAGCAGGAATGTGTTTCCCTGTATAATTTCCCTCTCCTGTCCTGTGGCCATCAACGGAGAGCTGTGCAACCTTTATGAGAAGAGCTCTTTTTGAAAAAAAAAGTAAGAGGATAGCAATATACGACTTTTTTAACTTTAAAAAAACTGAATTGCTTTTATTTACCCGGTAAGGCCCAATGAGCTCTTTAGCTTTTTTCAGAAGTGACCTGGCCACAAATGACAACTCAGGAAAGTGGCTTATCACGTGGAAATTTATAGCAGCCAGATACTCTAAAGGCACGTTGATTCTCAATGTGGAGGGAAAACCTGGAGGACCCGGATAATAATCCACGCGACTACAGGGAGAACATGCAAACTTCAAATACAGCAGGCGTCAGGGTTAGGCTCGAACCCACAATCTCCTGTATACCAGGTGAGGTAATTAACATCTCGCCACCATGGCGCCCTTATTAACCTTAACCTGATCAACATCGCGAAACCTGAAACTCGGCCCCAGTAACTCATTGTGGTCGTTTTTAGTAAGAAGGTGAAAGCTGCAGAGGGTGCTCGCTCCACGTTGTTGTTCACGTGTTAAGCGCGCATGTGCGCACGTTGACGTGCTCCGTGGAGAAAGCCGCCACCACCCCACTCGACTGAGGTCATTGCCGCTGTGGCGCTTCCTCTTGCGTTCGGGACCGCACTTGGCTCGTGGGCATTGACTGCAACAACAACAGCAGCCGCCATTCGCCACTAAGTGGCAGTGACGTCACCACGGCGCCTGTGCCAGGCCAGGTGCACTTAGAGGCCACGTGAAGTGTTGAACACTCGCTGACCGGAGGTCACGGGGCAGACTCAGGTGCCATGGGTTGACTGAGATGACTGGCAGATGCACCAGCTGTGACTGCACGTGATACAAAAACACACGATTTAGTGCTCGTAACAGCCTCAGGTACGCAATGCACCGAGGGTTCCAATGCCTGCTTGTTCTTAAACGTACGGCAAATAAGTGATAAATTAGTGAATGCTACCTTACATTTTGATTAAGTTAAAGTATAGCATGCACCTGTGTGATTTGCTCTGAAAGTTCAAACCTCGACATTCCAATTCCTGTGATTGACTTAATGTCCTCTGTCTTGTCTAAACTCTTGTCTTTCTTTTTTGTATTAATGCAGCGGCACATTAGAGGGCTTGAAGTATTTGTGTTCTATGTTGTAAGTACTGTGTTTGTTTCGCTACACGTGCGCTTCGTTGCCCCCTCGCACACGTGGGTTTTCTCTCTGCTGAAGCTGCATAAGTGTCGCTATCAAATATATTCGTGCATTTGGTAACATCCATGATGCTACAATTGTTTTGCCACTATAAATCAGTGCTTCCTAGCCCACCCTGCTCATGGCCATGCTGTTTTTTTTAAATAATAAAAATTGAGCTGACGTTAATATGAGGATCGCCCAGAAAGTAATGCCACACATAAAAAATATATTCCCACTGGAAAATGATCAAACTTTCAGTGAGCTGTAAGATTTAACTTTCACACTTTTCACAGTTTCAAAATGTCCCTACCAATAGCCCCTCACCAATTAGTCGTCAAAATGCCATCGAGCAGCGATGTGCATCGCAAACAAAGGGCTGGAATTGAGTTTTAGACTGCAGAGAACGAGTCAGTGGGGCAACGTTCACAACAGAAGAAGCACTGGGGCGCTGCTGGGTAAAACGAGTACACATTTACAGACGACAAGGTTGTTAGTGAGGTGATGAAGTGGCTTTGAGAGGCGGGACAGGACTTTCACTGGCAATTAATACACGCCGCCTTTTCTCGATGGCGTAAAGCCATTGACGGTGGAAGGGGATTATATGGAAAAGTAATGCGCATGTAGCCAATACCATCGCCAATTGTGTGGATAGGTTTCACTTTGCCTCTACATGTTGGCTGAGATAACACATTTTCATTGGGCATTACTTTGTGAGCGACCCTCGTACGTGGTGGGGACAGTGGAGGTGTGCGTGGTCTGTGACCACGTCTCCTCCCAAATGAAGCCGATACTCCCACGGGGTTCCCAGCTCTAGATGGACGTGGGTGCTGCTTCCCTACCTTAACCCTCCACCCACAGTCCAATGTCATTCGAATGTGGGCTCAAATATACCCAGATGGTTACATTGGGCTTGATCTTCCTGGTGCTGTGTAATCTGATGCAAACTTTGACCTGACTATCCCAAAGTCAGTGTGTAGCTTACTCATACGTTACAAAACACACATCTGATATTTTTTACTGTTATTTCTTCATTTCCTTCTTATGGTTAAATGTAACGAGGGAGGTGGCTGGGTGCCTTGAATCTCAGTGTGTCGTGGGTTGGTTGCCTCAGCCTGGTCATCGGTGCTGCACCAAAAAAACATTTCATTGTGCACTTCATTGCGGGCAAATTTGAGCTCTTAAGAATTAATAATAATATGTTAGACTGTCATAAAACAAACATTAACCCTCTTATTACATGGCGGTTGGGAAGATGCTGCTTCCTACCTTGTAGACCGGAGGTCACTTGAAGGGCTCTAATAGGTAGCTCTGTGATATCTTCTTCCATGGGCCTGTCGCTTACATCAAGGGTTGCACTGCTCTGCAAGAGACCTGAATCGATAATGCCTCATGAGATAATATCGACAACACAATCGGGATGAATTCAGATTTTTTTACTTAACTGTAGGAAGAGGATTATAATTTCCCCCCTTCCGATATGTGTTGTGTTTATAAGCCCTGTGTGTCATTGACACACGGTCACACTGTGTCAGCCACATCACCTGAGTTGGTGCACCTTCGCTTAGCAGCACCGTGCACAGAGCACGTAAGTAGTCCGCCACCTTCATTGGTGCTTTCAAGCAGCGGCAGTACTGGCTGCTGCTGCTGCTGCCCTTTCTATTTCAAGGTGGCCACGGTGGCTCATTTCTGTAATTAACTATTCAGGTGGGGTTGATGGATTGTGCAGAGGTCAGTATTTCTGTCTTGGCTCGTTGATACTCATGAAATGGCAGTCCATATATTCCTGAGCATTATGCCCATATTTTTCTATCTTATTCAGTGATGCCCTACAGCCAAAACTTCGTCATTTCCAAAATTGCCCAAACATTGATCACTCTTCTGGGAAATTCTTGACGCTCGTTGCAGGCGACTCTATGTTAAAAGGGGTTTGTACATGATCCGCGTTCATGGTATCAGCTGCCACCTCACTCTCTGAGAACAGGCAGCATTCTGTTTCATCTGAACAGGACAAATTGGGCCGATTTAAACCTGGGATGTAAGTTATGTAAATTGTTTACATTAACAGATACAAGTGCTTGTTTACATTGGTCCGATTTGCTGCAGTAATGGGCTTCATTTGTTGAAAAGGACAGCCAAGAGACGTTTTAATGTAAAATAATCTTAGGAATAGGAGATGCGAGAAAAGCAGCATTGCAGCCACCCAGATCGCTGGCAACATACTGATGTTTTCGTGTTATAGTCGGAAGCTCTCCTGATGAGTAATGTTGTAGATCATGGGATAAGCGGCGAATGGTGCTTTTCACGAGTGAACAGGCTGCACCATGTGTGCCACACAGCTCGTTCATAATAGTTCACGATGCGCTTTATCGGAGCAGTCTGTACAGGCCCAGTCTGTGTTTAACGTGGGGCTGCACAGTCAACGCCATGCTTCAGGCTGGAACATTATTTGCGTGGGTTGTAGACAATTTTAAGATGTGCATTGAAAACTACGTTGAATTCGTCATTAATTCTGAATATTATTACACTTTCAGGGGTACCTTTAAGGTGAAGAAATCTCCAAAAAACTCTCCTGAAGAAATTCCTCAAGTAAGCACTACCCCCCTTATATTACATCACTGCCTGCGCCATGTTGTACACCTATTGTACTTGGGGTCATCTTTTCTCGGCTCCAGTTAATTTGGCGGCAGGGTGGCACAGTGGTAGCGCTTGTGCCTCGCAGCAAGAGCAGCCCCTGGGTTCGATTCATGACGCGTGGACCTTTTTTCCAGATTCTGTGTTCTCTCTCCCCCTGCTCTGCGTGGGTTTCCTCCGGGTTCTCTGGTTTCCTCCCATAGCAAAAAGAAAACATACAGTGTAACTGGCATTGGCCAAACATCCCAATGCTGAAAAATTACTCCGTTGGGATCACACAGAGCAGCAACATCGCCCCCCTACTCCGAAAAACGAGTCTTGAGACTCGGTAAGGCTTTCCTGGGTGAAATAGCGTGGCAATAATAATAATAATCAACTATAATAATTGTGCGTGATGCTTCGTGCCGCTTGCATGGTCATTCATTGATACCCTTACGGGTGTAACTGTGCCATGTTTCCACAGGATGACCTTCCCCTGGACGACGTCCCGGTGGACATCCACGCGTCGGGCCGTGCCACCGACGAGGAGAAGCTGGCCTCCTCGGCGGCTGCGGCCAGTCACAAGATGGCGCAGGGCTCGCAGCCTCTCCCGGAGCCGGCATTCTCCGAGGCCGCAGACCTCGAGGCGTTGATCGGTGATGACGAGTTCCGGTCGGCTGCAGAAGGTGAGCCTCTCGGACGTGAACAGCTTCATGGTTGCCGCGGTGGTGAGGTATGAACTACCTCGCCCGGTATACAGCAGCTCATGGGTTTGACCCCAGCCCTAATGCCTGCTGTATATTTTGAATGTGCATGTCTCTCTCTCTCCCTCCTCGTGGTCGAGTGTATTTTTCTCGGTGTCTTCCGGTTTTTTCCTCCACATTTAGAAACGGGCGTTTAGACTTTGGCTGCCATAAAATTCCACGTGATAAGCCACTTCGTTGAGTGATCATTCGTGATAGCCAAGTCGCTTCTTTAAAAGAGCTCCATAGCTCAGTGGGCTTTACCTGGTAGTGTTTTTTTTATGTTGTATAGCCCTGTTTCACTTTAGCATGGGATGAGAACGCACCCCCAATAACAAGCTCATCAAAGCAATACAATTATTTGTGTTAGAAGCAACGTATTTGTCTTAACCATGGATGGTAATATTAACATGCTGTAAGTAACATTATCCCTCGTCTCCTGGGGTAGAATATTAACTTGCTCGTATTATGTCGGAGCAAGAAAGCTGTATGCTGGATTGAGACACCCATCTGTCGATGCACTCATTATACGTCAAATGCTCAATATGCGAGCGTTGCTTTCTGAAATAGATTCCCACGGTAATGGTATTATTGTCATGCTTCAACGACAAGGATGAATGCCAGCACTCTCACACTTGATCTTAAGAAATCAAATGGAATTCATAATACAAGTCTAAGCATTGTGCATTTTTCTCTAAAGTCCACAAGTTTCAAGCTTCATCTCATAAACCAAGATTTGTCTTTGATTTATGATTGCTATGATTGTGCCAATGAGCTCTTTCGTGCCCTCCTAACATTGACTTTCTTGCCTTATCTTTCTGCAATATGTATAAATGCATTCGATTGATTTTTTTATGTAATTTTTTTTTTCAGTTCCAGGGTTTGACCAGCCTATAGACTATCTTGAAAATTTTGGATCCACATCATCTGTAAGTTTGAAAGTCACTGACCACTACATTGTAGCTGTTAAATGTTTGCTGGCGATTTATATATTTGTATTTTCTTATTCATTCATTAGCGGTGAATGGTATAGTTCTTGTGATGATAAAAGCACAGCCCATTGTTTTTAGTTTACACCGGTGCCTTCGGATACCCTGCGCTGGCTACTCAATTTGTGTGTCTGTCGAAACGTCGTGAGGCAGCCAGAGCGGCGCTTGGTTCCCCGAGCCAGCGATGCCCTCGGCTTTGCCGTGGCCTCTGGAAGGGCTGTTGTTCCACCCGCCTTGCTTCGAGGCGTGTTGGTCGCACCCCGCGAGCAGCTTGTGGCCAATGATAGCGCCAGTTTCCTCTGGGACATGTTTTGCCTGTATCAAAGTATAAGAAATAAGAATGGTTTTACCTCTTCATGAATGCTGATACTTGGATTGTCTTTGTGCTGTTTGCCGTTTGGCATTCTCTGGTCTGACATTGGTGAGACAGGGCCATAAAGAAGGCTGTCTGGTGTAGGCCAATCAATTTAAAATGTTTTCCCACAACTACATGCGGTCAATGCAGACTTGATTCCTTGCAAAAGGTATTGCCAAAAAGAGTAAAACCTATTCTTATTTTTCATAATATTCCTCTCCGTGGCTCATTGGATGTAATGGATTTCAAGCTCAGTGAGAGCCCACCGAGACAACACATCTCTTACTTGAAAGGGAAACATTTAAACAATGAGTGCATGTTCTCAGATGATAAGCAGGAAATTGAACTCTCATTGACCTTTGTTTTGCATGTATGCAGAGTGTTTCAAAAAGATGGACCCAATTTCAAAGCGGTATATTTCACGATGGCAACATGTTACAATTACACAAAAAGTTACAAACGGTTTAATGAGTTATAAAATTTTAATAACCATTTTATAAATGCTCTATGTGCCCTCAACCTGCTGTACGGACAACATTGAGACGATAGTTTAATTCGTCCCAAATGCCTCTCAAAGTGTCTTCTTCCACTGAAGTCACTGCTGCCGTGATTCTGTTTTTGAGGTCATCCAGATCAGTCGCTAATGGTGGCACAAAAACACGGTCTTTGACATATCCCCACAAGAAAAAGTCGCAGGGTGTGATGATGTCTGGGGATCTTGGGGGCCAAGAGTGTAGCGCCAAGTCTTGGGGTCCCGTGTGACCTATCCAACGTTGAGGCAGCGTGTCTTGCGAATGACTGAGGCTAGAGGCTGTTTGTGCGCTGGGAGAGGCATCTAGCGGTAATCATTTGAAACTGTGCCCCGTCCTTTCAAGTGGTAAGAGTTTCATTCATAAATGGTTCGTGGTTACAGAGATACAGTGATTTCAAATCGGGTCCATCTTATTTAAACACCCTGTATATGCCATTACGTAAGCATCTCGTGTTTGTCACTGCTGCTGATCTTGTATGTGCACTCCTCACAGCACACGGAAACTTTTTTGATACCTTTGAATTCTACCATGCTTGGTTTATCTCCATTTTAGAATTTGCTGAATCATCAATTAATATCGATACATTGCTCTCACATGTCACTGCACGCATAACTGAGCAGTGTTTCGTTTACATTGTTTCAGTTTCAGGAATCTGCTCTAAGGAAGCAATCTCTCTACCTGAAGTTCGATCCCTTGCTCCGAGACAGCCCAGTGAAGAGCATCTGCCAGCGACCGGAAGCTTTGTGAGTCTTTGTCAAACGCGCTGTGGTGTTGTGCTGTGCGTGCAGCCAAGTGCACGTGATTGCAGTTTGAATAATTGTGTTTGAAGAACATATTTTTCTATTCATATAACCATGTGTGTTTTTCCTATGTATCTTCCCAATATACATTGGAACACCTATTTGTCCTGGTATCTTCTAATTACAACAATGTAAGGCCCACAAGATCTACTGTTTTCCGTGTTACATGCAGATCCCCAAGAAAATGATGATAATGAGATTAGCAAATAAAAAAATGTCATCGTCTAGCAAAACCACGGAGAGATTTTATTTTAGCGCTGTGAAGTCCCCGCGTGTGTTCTCTGGCGCCTGAAGTCCCGCGTGTGATGGAGCGCCACAGGTTCTCGCACCCAGAATAACGTTCCGCACGGGAGGAGGAGGTGCCGCCGGCGTCGTTCTCCCCGTTCCCCACCATCCCACACAATGTCCTCGTCACGTTGCTTTCTGAGCTCGCAGTGCGGTCGTGGTGGCTTCCCCCCGCCGCCCGCTCCTCACCGGCGTGTTGGGGTTCCCGTTGGCCGCGTTCGCAGGGAACCGTCGGCGGCGCTGGCCCAGCACGCGGGGGGGGTGGCGGCCGCCCTGGAGGCCGAGCTGGCCAAGCGCAAGGGCGTGGCGGAGCTCCTCGCCGTCTCCCCGCTCAAGACGGACACGCTGGTGGTGGGGCCACGCTCGCTTCTCTCGCACGCTCGCTTCCCTCGCACGCTCGCGTCTCTCGCACGCTCGCGTCTCTCGCACGCTCGCGTCTCTCGCACGCTCGCGTCTCTCGCACGCTCGCGTCTCTCGCACGCTCGCGTCTCTCGCACGCTCGCTTCTCTCGCACGCTCGCGTCTCTCGCACGCTCGCGTCTCTCGCACGCTCGCGTCTCTCGCACCCTCGCACGCTCGCGTCTCTCGCACGCTCGCGTCTCTCGCACGCTCGCGTCTCTCGCACGCTCGCGTCTCTTCACGCTCGCAACATCGGTCAGAATACTTCAACGTTTTTAACGCAATGGTCTATTTTTATGTCTATCAAAAAAGTGATCATGTTTTTTGCGTACGTGTGCGTGCAGAACATATCTACTTGGGAAAGTGCAACTACGGAGGAGTTGCTTCCAGAAATCGCAGAGAAAAACCCAGCCGCCTTTGCACTGAGGCTTCAGGTATGATTCTGTACAAGCAAACGGTGAAACCACGGTGACACAAACAGGACCATCACCGCCTCCTGCCAACTAAGTACTTGATGCTTTCCTGGGTAAATAAGTTTAGTAGTAGTCATAGTAATAATAATCATCTTGGCTTCTCATATCTTCTGATTTAGCATGTGACATTTTAATTAAAATGTTCACCAGTAGCAAATGACTGTCATAGCAAACACACATCAGTGATATTCTCAACACTTACGCTGAAACAGACCATATCCTGTTCATCTGAAAACAGATGAATCAGAACCAACAGTGCTTGTGCATGAAACTGTTCAAGTGTTTCGTTGGAGATGTCAGTTTCTCAGCGAGGCATAACTCTTGAATCGGTCGGTTCTTTCTTCTTCTCGACTCGATGGAGAGATTTTGCATACCCAAAACCTGTCAACCCCTTATTAGTCCCTACTTTATTACATGCCGATTCAGACCTTATTGGTCACCCCGTGCCCTTATAAATCTCAACACTCATCCTATAAAGTCTCATCACAAGGGAAAAACACAAACAAATAGATAATAAATGTTGGCTGTATGCAATATGGACCTGAAAACTCAATTTCCCTGTACACGAATACGAGTAAACCGTATGGGTTGACAGGTATGATGCCCTCTCACTCCTGTTATCTAAAACTAAACTATTTTGATCTTACCAGGTAAGGCCCACTGAGCTATGCAGCTCTTTTTCAGAAGCGACCTGCCCACAAATGATAGGTAAACGAAGTGGCTTATCACATGGAAATGTATAGCAGCCAAATACTCTTAAGTGCATGTTTTTACATTTGGAGGGAAAAACTGTGGAGGACCCAGATAAAAAAGAGAGAGACATGAAAACTTCAAACGTACAGGCATCAGGGTCGGGATCATAGCCACGACCTCCTACATACCAAACGAGGTAGTTAACATCTTGCCACCGTGGCGAGATGTTCTGCTCTGTATAGGACTTGGCACTGCCTTATTCTACATGCCTCGCCGTGCCCCGGGGAGAATGGTTTCCATAAATCCTGGAACTAGAGGGCCAGCCTTGACGGGGACGGTCCTCCGTTTCGGGATCGCCTCCCGTGTTTCTCAGCTGTACATTTCTTCAGCAAGAAAAGCGGAGATCATTTGAGAGTTCTTTGACTGGGAAACGTGTTGTGGTCTATAAAACCCACCACTGGCAGATGTGTTATTGAGTCACTCGTGTAAAAAAAATTCCAACTTCTCCCAACTGCAAATAGCAATGATGTTTGCCTTTGTGAATGTTTTTAAGGACTCCCATTGAGTCACAACGACCTAACATGGCACTTTGTATTGTTTCCATCTTTCACCAATTATCTTGAATGTGTTTTTTAACATCCAGGGATGGGGTTGAAGTGTTTCTCTTCTGCATCATGTGAATGTACAACAGCATTGGAACCTTATTTATTGGTAGAGGTCACTGTTCTATTCTTTATGTTCAGTTTTGCATTTGTCACATGTTAAATGTTCTTCTCAAAGCAAAAAGTGAGCTACTCGGCAAAGAGATGCGGAGTATCTCACTTGCCCAACTCATTTCGTTCGCTCTTCGTGTGCCTTTGGGCCCTGATGCTTGATTCTGATTTTCAGTCCATTATCCTTTCTCCCTTCCTGCCTCTTTGCTCTTCCGTTCTGCGCTTTTGGCTCATACTCTGTTGCCCTGCTCTCGTGCCCCATCCCACTCTGTCGATGGCTTGGTCCGCTCCGCTGCTGCTATTGATTGGGTGGACTGGGGAGTGCAGGAGAAGTTACAGCTGGCTGCGGTGCAGCTGGAGGCCTTTCATTTAGACAGCCATCAACGGACCCTCTCCCCAAACATCCCCCTAGAGTGGCAGGTACAGTTTGCCAGCCGCAGATTGTGCCTGCAGGCAGTCTGACTTTAATAGTCGAAATAACGAGTGTTTTAACTCGGACGTGAATCCCTGCTTGATTTGAAATAACTCCGATGGCATTGTAAGTGGCACTCGTAATTCACTCGCTCACTTAACACAAGACACGTGCAGGATCCGTTATCTCCTGGTGAAAATGTGCGGCAGTATATATGCGATGGGCAAAGGTCGTCAATTAATTGACTCCAATATATTCAGCTGCCAGGCAGTTAAGGAAAGGGTGGAGTTGATTGGGAGGAATTTGTAGGAGGGCATGGCATTATCACAATGAATGTGTGGTATACACGATATTGGAACTTTTTTACATGCAACAATAAGTATAATTACAGGATTTCCTTGTGAAAGAACACGTTTTATTCATGCTCTCAGCACTGGCGCTGATGTGAATGTTGTATTTACTTCTCATGAGGTTGATCTTGCACATTATTGGAGACTATAACTTTCAAGACACTGTGTTCGGAAAAGATGATTAAAGGAGGAATAAAAGATGATGTTATCAGATCTTTGTCTCATTGTAACATAGCAACATTAATGTTCCATGTTTACTTGGCTTTGACGAGTTATTGACTCGTAGTGCCCACAGCTTCTAAAGAATCATGTGCCATCCTGAAAAAAAACTCTAAACAGACAATTTATTTGCAAAAAATTACGTGAAAATTGTTGGACCCATCTCAACATTCTACGTGTCCTTTAAATGCGGCTTCCATTCGGCTCTGTTAATTTGTGCAAATGGCAGCTGTTACCTGGTAAAATTTGAAGGTCACCGCTCGTCTGGAACGGGACGAAGTTCGTGCAATTTCAGGTGTCGGGTTTTAGTCTGGCAGACAAGTATCTGGCCACGCGTCGCTGTACTGGGGGGGGGGTCCCTCGGAGTGTTGGGTGATGATTGTAGGCTTCCTTTTTAAAGGCTGGCCTAGCAGCTAATTAACGCATTTACAGAAGAACACGCATGTCTTGCTGCAATATGATGTTTCCGGAATGGACATTTACGTTTTTGTGTGCACTTCATGATATTCAGTCGAGATTGAGACGTTACTTACAGACACTTTAACATATCCGCACAATGCATGTGAAAGATGAAGATGTCTTTTTGCTACCCGATTGGTGTGGCGGCCGCCCTCCATGCAGTGCAGCACTAGTTTTCGCTGTTTGAAAATTCACGTGCAACTGAACTGACACTAACACTCTGTGTGCTTATTGGTATGATGAGTGGTACAAGTGTCGCTCTGTGAGAGTTTGCAAAACGTTTTCCTGCGTGTTCTCTTCGCTTGCGTGTTTGTCACTTACTTTCAAAGGGCATCAAACTCGGCATCAGCCACGGCCGTTTTCGTCGTATTTGTAGACGCGAAACTTGAGGTCATACGCTGCCCCCGTTCTGGTTGCAGGTGGACATTCCGCCAGTCCCTGAAGTCCCTGCCCACAAGGGCCCGGTGTACACCCCACCGGTGGGCATGCTCGATCAGAATGCCATCGTGAGCCTGCTGCGGTACACGCAGACGGACCTGGACGGCGCTTTGCAGCGGGCCCGCGAAGAGGTGAGCACCCTCGGGATGCCGCTGGGTGACACGGTGCACACTAGACCAGAACCCTGCCTTTATTGATCGTGCACGCATTGTCTGTTCATTGGTTGTCATCCGGTCACGTTTTATTATCGTTCATTAGATTATGCACTTTACATGAAATATATTTCTACTAAACTCGTACCACAGTTCATCCCTTCTTATAATACTTTTTTTAAAGAAATGTTACAGTCCATTACTTCTCATGGAAGACCACAAGATAATTTATTTTCCTCCTTGCCATGGCTAGACTCCCCATAAGATTCCTTCCCACTACAGCTCTTAACACTCCATCTCCCCTGTATACGTCACAAGCACACTTACTTACAGCTGGACTTTCCTCATTGCAGATTTTGACGAAAAACTGTGAGATCGCAGAATGGAAGAGGACGTGCGATGACGACAAACGGGAGGTCACAGAAATGAGGTGGGGTGTAAATTAATGTGTCGGCAAAGCCCGTGTAATAGTCCAGCAAAAGCTCTGCCATCCGGCATTTTACCACCCGGAATGCTCTATTAACCGGCATCTGTCATAGACGGCAATACTAATCTTTCTTCACATATCCGGAAATATTCCGACAGCCATCTGGCATCTTGCCGTGCTCTTCTCATAGATCTATTGTTTACGGAAGTCTCAGAACGCTGCCGAGTGGTGGCACTAGCGACAGTCTGTACATACAGTGTTGTCTCCTGTACTCTTAAACGGCCCCACTGCTTCTCTGCAATCAAGGTAGAATGCGCTACAACTGACTGGTGAGCACCTCTGTAAAATAAAATATACTTTTTTATATCATAGTTAAAATGTAGGCTTAACTTCCTTCTCAAAAAGTTGAATGTACTTGGAAAATTTGGTGAACTATAAGTATAACTCTCAGATAACCGGAAATATTTGATTAACCGGCACCCTCCATTCCCCATGAATGCCGGACAACAGAGTTCTGCTGTACGAACAATGATGAGATGGTGGTGTGACATTGGTTCAACGCGTGACACCACATATGCGTGTGCAGCGGAAAATAACGGCATTGCCTCTTTTGCAAGGGCGACCACCCGTCCCTGCACGCCACAAACCCTCCCCCCCGCCCCGTGAACTCCTGCAGCCACGACTCTACAACCCCCCTTCTCCCCCCTCCTGTGCCTATATAAAGCCACAACGGCAGATCATTCTTTCTCACCTGATGACGGACGCTTGTGTTGCGACCGAAACGTCGTGTTCTTTTATTATTTGTAACCAACTTGTTTTTTGTGCAGGAAAATTGTGGCAGAATACGAGAAGACCATTGCCCAAATGATTGGTAAGCTATTTGTGCACCTCACCTAGTGATCTCCTAAACCTGGTCACAGACCCCAAACATAACTGCCCAGTCCTATAGGTTCTTTTGGGTAATTTCATGCATCGTGCATAGTCGGCGTAGGACCGTTGTGCCAACCGTGTGACCTCCTGCGACAGCGTTCGCGTAAACTGCTTGAGCTGCCATACCAGTGTCTCGAGAGATGTTTGATCCACGGATCACGAGGGTCGCAGTCCGCTTGGAACAATGACCTTCAACTGTGAGGTGCGCAATTTTATTGCAGGAGTTTGCGCATCGAGACGGGGCAACGCGCCCACAAAGTGACAGCCGTCTCCCGTAAACTAAGCTCTCGATCGCTAGGAGACGGGTTGTAGATGCAATGGTGACGTAATAATAAGTTTGAGTAATTAACTTGTTATTTTCTGACACGCATCTCGCGGTGACGAGATGTGAACTACCTCGCCTGGTACACAGGAGTTCGTGGGTTTAATCCAGACCCTGACCCTGATATTTGGCGTTTGCATGTCTCTCCCCATGGTCACGTGGATTTTTCTCTGGTCAACTGGTTTTTACCTCCACATTTAGAAACATGCATTTGGAGTATTTAGCTGCTATAAATGTACACGTGTGAAGCCACTTCGTTGAGCTCTCATTTGTGGCCAGGTCGCTTCTGAAAAGGAGTTATGTAGCTAAGTGGGGCTGACCTCGTAAAATAAAAATTGTTTCATATGTATTAAACTATTTTAATAATCATGAAACTACTTTTATTGGGCCACTATTTTTAATAGAGAGAGTGGTTTAAGTGGTGCTGGCCACTGCTCTCTGTGTGTGGTTGACACGTCTTTCTTGTCACTTTACGAGCTCTGTGAGAAGACAGCACCCACTGCAATCCAGTGTTGTTGCCCTCGTTAGTCAGCCCCACCGTCTCCTGTGCACATTCACTGGGGTTCCTTCCCACTCTTGCAACTTGGTTTCTGCAGCTGAACCAATGCAGTCTTTAATCTGTTGCTAAATGGTCTACGTAGCCCCACAAGAGGGGGTTGCAACTGTTAGGAGTATTGCAAGGAGGGCGGTGAATTCCAAGCCATAGTGATGAGGAGGAATTCCCCTTGAAACTACTGTTGTAGGACTTGTCTGTGTGTGACAATGTACAGTGGTGGCTGTGTGTGGATTACAATGGGGTTACTATCACAGTGTTCCCCTTCATGTGCAGCCAATGAGGAGGATGGGTATATTAGTGCAGTACATTTACTTACTGCACTGATGTGTCCACTATGCCCCAAGTCACTGGACATCAGAGATGGGGAAAATTTGTAACGATAATAGCCAAGTTACCAAGCTGTTCTGCAGCTTGAAAATACGACTAATTACGTTTGATCAATGTCATAACTGTTTTAAAACTATCAAAGCAATCCCATATCTGTTTGTGGCTGCTGCGTAGAGGAAAGCCAGATGGAAAAGGCCATGATGGAGAGGAAAATTCAGCAGGAGATGGCTGAGAAGGAACAGTATTTGGCCGACTCCAGCTCCATGGAGAAGTCCTTTTCAGAACTCTTCCGCCGATACGAGAAGATGAAGGAGGTGTTGGAGGGTTATCAGAAGGTAAAGGCTTTATAATCCGCGTGTTAAAACGCTCAACTAAACGTGTGTGGTTTATTCCTGGACTTGGCTCACGCATGGAACACGTGTCCATGTTACTCAGGGTGCCACTCACGGATGCTGCACACGTAGTCGTGCGTTGTGTTTTGCAGCAGAAACGCAACAAATCCACAACTGCAATTAAGCATTTGTCTACCCATTTGCTAGTGATCATTTACATGTTACTCAGGAGCGTTTCACTGAATCTTTAGACCCGTTTTTGCGGAGTCTCCTCCAGTAAGGGATTGGGGCTGGAGACATCACTCATGTTGTAAAAGCTCCTGCCTTGTCGCTAGATGGCGGATATATCGTGTCATCAAGGGACGGTGGTGCCTGTCCACAAGTGAACAGCTTGTCGTTAGTTGTGTTGTTTCATGTCGGAGATTTTGTAGGACACTTTTGTGACGCAGTCTATTGTTTAGCGAGTAACCTGTTGCGGCGCGAATGCACCAAAGGTAAACACGGACAGCGGCTTGTTTGAAACAAAATAAGCGACCGTTTTTGAAACCACAAAGTACACCGCAGTGCCTAGTTCCTCCTGACTTTGACATTCCTCATCTACACTGCTGGCGTATCCATCAAACACACATCTCTTCTTAAATGTATAATTAAAGACACGAGCCACCATAGTGACCATTCAACCCAAACTATGGAACATACAGTAAATGATTGTCGCCTGCTCTCCTTCAACGGAGGTGGAACAGCAAAACGACAAAAACTCTACTGAAGCCCTCTCGTCATGGCCAGCATCAGACCTCGACATTGGCATATTGAGCTCCTGGACATATTGCCGTATGCAAGAATAGAATAGTGCCTGGTTTTGTAGATCATGTACATGAATCCATCGTTTAGCACGGTAGATGCGTTCCTGAAAGTGCCACGTTAAGCGAGGAATTACTGTACCGATCGCATGTGCACTGTAAATCAGCCCGCGGTCATCTCATGGCGGGACAGGACTGAGATAAGGGTACGACGCTGTGTATTGTATCATTCCGCATACTGTATCATTCCGCTCAGCCGCGCAGCTTGAGAAAGTAGTATGTCGTCCACCGCTCAGAAACCGCATGACAACGATGCTTGTTTGGCGTTGTGCGAAAAGTGTTCCCTAATAAAAGAACTGCCTTGCTGCAAAACAGCGTTAAGCGAGGACTTACCGTATAATGTTTCATTGCTATACCGTGACTTCCCATATGTGTGTTCCTGGTGTCGTTTGCTAGAATGAGGAGGTACTGAAGAAGTGTGCGCAGGATGCCCTGACGCGCGTGAAAAAGGAAGACCAGCGCTACCAAGCCCTCAAAGCCCATGCAGAGGAGAAACTGGACAAGTGGGTGATTTCTCGTACAACGTCTCTCTCGTGTCCAGTATCATAAACTTACATTTCCTCACCAGATGACGGTGGGCCGGGAAGCAATGGATGTTCGATGGAGACAAGGAAAAAATGAATACCGTGGATGTTTATTGATCGTCATTTGAGTGATAGTGTGTATTATATAGTAGATACGGGTTTTTTTAGGTATATACTACGTGTTTTAATATACAGGTACATATGCGTGTATGTTGGTATATGGACATGTGTGTATGTTATCTTTCCTGTTAACGTAATTTTTTATCTGTCTGTTTGTGGACGAAACTTGCGAAGGATTTGGCTCGCGAACCCTGCGGTCCACATTTAAAAAACTTACTTTCATGCCCCAACGTAACCCTGGCTGGGTGACACTCTCTCTCGCTCCCTCACTGGGAGCCTGCACCGCACACTATACGTGGTGCCTAATTACCAATTTAGTGCTCTTTTTTTTCTTAGTGAATTATTACTTTACGACAATTGTACAGATCAAATCGGTCAGCAAAAACGAATGTTTTGTAAAAAGGAAAATCACTGAACGTGTTCCTTGCCGTATCGTCTGAGTGCGGTGTTTTCCGTCAACAAAGCTGCCTCCTGTAACTTCTGCAGTCCACATTGATCCATTCTCATTCTCTCATGCCTCTCATCGCCGCATTTACAATCGGACATCGGAGCAATTACTTCACTTACACAACACACCTTATTCTCATTCACGTTTATTAAAAACATATGCAATGCCCTTTTTATATATTTTGTTCCCCATATTTTAGTCAAATGATTGCAAAGCCAGTGATTCTTTGTGACCTGAACTCTAACGCTAACCACTCCGGATCATTCTTTGCTTATAGCCCAAATCTAGACATTGCTTGTGGAGACATAACCATCATCATCATCATCATCATCTCTAATGATTGATAAAAAAAAATTACAAGTTTGCTGAAGGAAATTCACAGCTTAAAGAGATCTCACGACGGTTGCGAGATGTTAACTACCTCACCTGGTGTTCAGGAATTTCTGGGTTCTACCCCAACCCTGATGCCTGCTTTATATTCGGAATTTGCGTGTTTCTCCCTGTGGTGGCGTGGATTTTTCTACGGATCCGTCAGTTTTTAGAAACATGCGTTTTGATGATTTGTCTGCTATTAATTTCCACGTGATAAACCACGACGTCTTTGTGGGGGCCAGGTCGCTTCTGAAAAAGATCTATACAGCTCTGTGACCCTTAACTGGTAAAATAAAACATAGTTTAGTTTTAAATAGATTGCACGGGTTAAATGTATGCCAACAGTAGGGTGAGACATTGTACTGTGCGTGTGCTGGTAACAGGGCTAATGAGGAGATCAGTCAGGTGCGGAACAAAGCCAAGGCGGAGACCGCGGCGCTGCAGGCCTCTCTGCGCAAGGAGCAGATGAAGGTGGACTCCTTGGAGCGCTCTCTGGAGCAGAAGGTATCAAGCCAGCCGTTGGAATTACCATACGTCGCTGTATCACTTTCCACTTGCCTCCGTCTCTTCACATCTGTGCTTATCAAGTCTCCATGCCTCTGTGTTTTCTACGTGCGTGCATTTGTCTGCATGCTTCTTCTGTCTGTTTAAATTGCGTTGTTTTGGTTTCTCTCTCACATCTGCATTTGTCATTTTCTTTCATTTAAACATATTGTGAGGTTGCTGATCTTGCCCTGCACATGTGTGTACCTCCCTCGACAACTGTTGTAACAATCAGATGTTTGCTTTTGTTTATGCATCTGAAAGGAAGTGATTACTGTATTTTCCCGCATATAGCCCGCAGATGCATATACCCCGCAAAAATAGCGTTTTGTGTAAAATAAATTTCAGATAGCCTGCACCTCCATATACCCCGCATTCATTCACATCTTTAACGTCGTTACCGCAGCTTAATTCCATCATATTAATACGAAGTTTACATTTGTAATACATTCCACTATCAATTGTTAACATTAAAATCATAATGTGCACAAAGAAAACAAACTAACTGGAAATGAGTGAACTTAAAACAGCAAATAAGTAACAAAAGTAAATATCCAATAAATAAGTAACACATAACTGGTAGATAAGTAAGTAAGCGTACTGTTAGGCTTACCAGCATTCCACCTCATCTTATTACAGCTACTGGACCGGTAGTATCCCCTGTACAGTTTTAGCACTGGTAGATTGCGCACTGCGCAGACAATAGCGGCACTACGGTAACGCCATTGCCTCCTGGCAACAAAGCCATTGGAAGTTTGAAACAGCTCATGGTCGCGACTGTATAGTGCTCAGCCAATGGCAGCGGCCTAACGGGCTCAGCAATTATGATTCCGCGTCTGGTAGACGCTTGTTAAGGCCCTTCCCATTGTGCAATCCATAGCCTCAGCTGAAACTTTGCACCCCCCTACAGCCACTGAAAGTATTACCGTAGTTTATGGGCAAATGTAAACATTGTACAAACAATTAGAATATTTGAAAACGTGATAACATGTGCAATTCTAGTGTGAGTGGTTTATTCAGCAGTGCTTTAGTCAAAGGTAAGTGTATAGTGGATAGTCCTACCATGGAAAAATTAAACGAGTTATGACGTCACACGTGTAAAATATTTTTGGAATAGCCCGCACCTCCATATACACCGCAGGGTCTAGTTTTGTTTGTAAAAAGTGGTCTACCCCGTGGGTTATATGCGGGAAAATACAGTAAGTATAATTTTGTCTAACTTGTGGGTTTTTTGCAGACCAAGGAGATTGAAGAATTGACCAAGATCTGTGATGAACTCATCTCCAAGATGGGGAAAAGCTGAGTTACCGTTTGATTTGAGATTTGGAGTTTTCGTTTTTTCACATGAAATTTAATTTGTATTGTAGACATTGACTCGATAGGTCCAAAGACAAACATAATATGATCATGCCTCATGATCGCGCAAAGAACAACTTGTACAGTTTCAACACGTACAGAATTTGTCACACCTCAAGAACAGAAGGATACGCTTTTGAATGCCTCACTCCGTCCGTAGTGCCGGTTCGTGCGTGTTATTCTTGTTGTGCCGCTCCCAGCCCACACGTTGCCTCCCCTCCCTCTCTCTCTTGTCCCCTGGGAAGCACAGCAGCATCCACACTTTCACTTCTCGCTCCAAGCACTGCATGGTTTAAACATCTTTGAATCTTTCAAATGATTTTCCGTGTTATGGGTTTGAATATTTGTACAAATTTTTTTGATTTTTTCGTATCTAATAAGACTGATTCGCATGAAGATGTCTACACAAACGTTAACAGTGCCGTTTTAAATGGCACATGCACTAGCCAAGGTAAAGTAACAATAGCTGGTTGCCGTTTACGTTTTGTAACTAGCTTTTATACAAGATTAATGGTCGTAGATTGAATGAATACATGTTAGTTGGTATTTCATTTAGTTTAGCGTTTATTTTTTTTGTGGAAAATGTCTGCGGTAATATTTAGCTTTTTGTGAATCCACACTGGCATCTTTGCCTTAAGCCGGGCTGCGAGCCCTGTGGGTGGATGTGTTGGTGAAGTAGGGCGTGCCACCGTTGACATATTGTTTTACTCTGTATTACTAATGCATGCATCTCGCATCATAATAAAAAGTGTTTTGAACTTCTTTTATTTGTAGGTTGCTTTTTACATTCGTTTAAATGTCTTGACCTTAAGGTATTGCATTTCTGAACACCTCTCCTCAGTCTTTGGGAAAAGTGTAAATATGGTATTATAATAAAACATCGAATTAAATCACTGTCATGGGTGTGTGGTAGTTAATATATGATATACTTGGAAAGTGTGTGTGTATGGGTCAGTGGGCTTCGATGCCATTGTCTGCACAAAGTTTCCCACTGGGCCGCATCACACTGCATTCCCCATGGTAACCATGGCAGCGTTTGCCAAACTCCTTCCTGTCTTCTTCCAACAGTCGACAATTTAATTGTTATAATTTATTGAATGCTCACAACAATAACCCGTTTTTTTTCCTCGGCAGCAGCTGGGTTGATCTGCCTGCTGTGCCGGGCTGGCAGGCCTGGTGCTAGTGGTAGGAGCCATGCTTTATTGTTGTTTTCTGCCTCCTAGAAGGGGACTGGACTGGTACGAGCAGCTCCAGGGATCCTCTGGGACTCAAGGTGTTTGTGTTAAACTAAAAAAAAAAACTTCTTATTTGACCAGGCAAGGCCTCCACTGAGCTATGTAGCTCTTTTTCAGAAGCGACCTGACCACATTATAGCTCAACGAAGTGGCTTATCGTCACGTGGAAATGTATAGCAGCCAAACAATCTTAACGTGTGTTGGTTCTAAATGTGGAGGGAAAAACGAAAGACCCGGATAAAAATCTACCCGACCACAGGGAGAGAAATACAAACTCCAACTATACAGCAGGCATAGTCAGGGTCGGGATCGAACCCATGACCTCTTGTATCACAGACGAGGTAGATCACATCTCACCACCGTGGCGCAGCTGAGGAATCCTCCAGGGGTTCGTGTTGTGGATACCTGTGTGCTTGTTCCCTGGACTTTTTTCTGACTTTGGGAGCTTGAGTGTTTACTAGCTCGTGCTGTGTTCCTCGGATACCCTTGGTCTAATCTTGATTTTAAGCTTTCATGACTGCAGGAATCCATACTCGTTGGTTCTTTCGGTAAAGTCACGTAGGTAGAAAAAATAATGGATCACGACGTTTTGATCTCAACACAAGCAATCGTCTTCAGGTGAATAAGTAATATTAAAAAAAAATTAAACACGCTTTTATGAAATGTACTAATAATGGCAGAACTCCACGACTCCAGGAAGTGGCCCCGAAGCTTGCCATAACGTAAGTGACCGTGGTCATTGACAGCCATCAGTTGAGCGTAGACAATTAGACCCAAGCCGAAACATAACATAAAAACCATCACCTTGCCATACATAGCAGGGGTTACCAAAAATATTTCCAAAATTTTGAACAAACACAAGATCCAGGTTTGATTCAACACAGTACACAAAATCCGTGATTTTATCCCACCTGTGAAAGATGTGATTCCTGACATGCAATACCCTGGTGTCTACAAACTAAGTTGTGTCTGCGGTAGCAGTTACATTGGGGAAACGAAGCGACATGTCTCGGACCGTTTTCGCGAACACAAGGCAGACTTGAAACACGGCAGAACCAATACCTCTGCCGTGGCTGATCACTGTTTAAACGCGGTGGGCTCACACACTAGTCTTTTCCGAGACCAAGGTACTCTGCAAACCTTCGGGCTACCATCAAAGATTTGTCCATAAAGCCATCCAGATTTATAAACACGGACAACTTCAACCGAGAAGATGGATACAAATTAAACAATCATCGGAAAGACGTGATCAACCAGGTAAAGTTTTAACTGCTTTGATGTTCCCTTCCTACCTACCAATATTAGCCGACTCTCAAATTTCCAAGCCCTAGCCAAGCTAGGCCCTCGCCGAGCTTATATTTACAAGCAAACTTCCGGGCCCCAGCTGACCTCTGGCCCTCGCTGAGCTTACATTTAGAAGCAAATTTCCGGGCCCCAGCTGAGCTCTGGCCCTTGCCGAGCTTACATTTTACATTAGCTGCCCCGCCCATCGCTAAACCTTTATAAACAGCCTGCCTCAGTAGATTTCCCCCTCTTTTTCACCTGAAGACGAAGCGACGAACAATACGAGAGCCGATGAGAATGAAGACAATGCAGCAATAAGAACACTATAATGGGGTGCCTAACGAGCGCACAAGGTAAGTAAGAACAACATTCAACACACGACAGCAGCAATGATAAGATGCATACGAACGCATTATGCAAGAAGGGTCTAACGGTTATCAACGAAAAGGAACAGATTTTGAGCGTGTACGCGATGCAGGTCCATCCCCCGCCGCAGTCCGATACGCCGCCGATCCTGATGTCACAGGAGGCGGAAGAATGGGACGTTGAGCGTCCGACTTGGCGGAAGAAGGTCCCGCCGGAGCAGGGTCATCCGCAGCAGCCGGAGCGTTTAGGGTCTGTGAGTCTGGAAGACAAACCAGACCCCTTCTAGGGATCAACCGGCAACCGAGGTGGCCCATCGGACGCATCTGACCCCGGCAGGGTAGTTAATGGGGATGAGGGAGCAACGCGCGGAGCAAAGAAGGGTTTCAACCACGAAGTGTGGACGTACCAGCGGCGTGAACCCGACCGTATACGTACACATTGAGGACTCCGTACCTCTATCAAATCAACAGGCCCCTGCCATGGCCTGTGTAATTTGAGAGAAGTACCCCCGGTACCTGGGGACAGTGGAGCCAGGCCCGGTCGCCTACGACTCATGGCATTTCGCGTCGCGATCGACGAGCGCACTGCTCATTACGGGCCTGGGTCTTTGCCGTAGCAACTTTCGCCGCCTCCCGCGCTTCCGTGACTCGGCGAATCGAATCGCGGACATGTTCTGGCAGGGTCAGCGCCGGTTCCTTGGTGGGCGCCCCTAGTTGCACGCCAATCGGCACATTTTCCCGACCATACCTGAGGAAGAACGGTGAGTAACCCGTAGAGAAATGCGGGGCCATACAGTAGGCGGACAGTACGCTAGGAATGTGAAGGTCCCAATCGGCCTGTTTTTTGTGCACCGTGTGACAAAGCATGGCAAACAAGGTACGGTTGAACGGTTCCACCATTCCGTCCGTTTGCGGATGGTAGGGCGAAGTGCGTATCTTCTTTGTGCCCAAAGCGTCACATACGTCGCGTAGCAATTTGGATGAAAAATTTCGGCCCTGGTCTGTGAGCAGCCGTTCCAGAGCCCCCTTGTCCATCACATAACCGTTCAAGAACGCATCCGTAATGGATGCCACCGATTGATCTGGCAGGGCCCAGGCCATTAGCCAACGCGAAAAATACTCCACCCCCACCAGCAGAAATTTGTTACCCCTGGCGGAAGGAGGAAATGGCCGAGGATATCAAGAGCCACAAGCTCATTAATTCGCATAACCCTAATCGATTGTAAGGGTGGAATATATTTTGTGCGTGATGGTTTCCGCCGAGCACATTCGGGGGCATGTCTGGATGGCCTTGGCGACATCAGCCTATCCCGGAGGGTTCGAAACGCCAACTCTTCCTCGGGTCCCCATTTAAACTTCTGATTTTTACCCGTCAAAACGTGCAGAGGCCTAGCGATGGTGGCAAAATTTGGAACGAAGCAACGATAGTAGGACGCAAACCCGACGAATCGACGCACCTGCCCCACGGAGGTGGGGGTCGGCCAGTCACAAACGCAAGAGGTTTTGTCCGGATCCGTGGCGACGCCGTCGGAGCTCACAATGTGACCCAAGTAACGCACAGATTGTTGCAGAAGATGACACTTCTTAGGTTTTAATTTTAGATTAGCAGACCACATTCTATCGAAAACAACCTTCAAGCGTTGGAGGTGTTCTTCGAACATGCGACTAAACACTGACATCGTCCAAGTATATGAGACATGTGTCCCATTGCAGCCCCGCCAACACCAGCTTCATCAAACGCTGGAACGTGGCGGGAGCAGCGTTCAGACCCATAGGAAGGCAGTTAAACTCAAATAGGTCCTGAGGCGTACTAAATGCCGTCTTTGGTTTCGACGCCTCGTCGAGAGGCAGCTGCCAAAATCCTGCCAAGAGATCGAGGGTGGAAAAAAATTTCGCTCCCGACAAGGCATCCAGGGAATCGTCCATCCGTGGCAGACACCTTATTCAATTTGCGAAAATCCACACAAAACCGGAGGCCGCCATCTTTCTTCTTAACAAGCACGACAGGGGCACCCCAAGGGCTATTCCATGGCGAAAATATGTCGGCAGCGAGCATTTCGTCCACCGCTCCCCGCATATGGTCCCTTTCAGCGGGACTCATGCGGTGCGGATTCATTCGTATTGGGCTCGCCACCCCGGTATCTATGTGATGGGATAAGAGTGACGTACGACCCAAGTCAAGATCGTTCCGGCTAAAGACATTGGCGTAGTCCATCAGTAGCGCCCATAGCGCCTCACGCTGCCGGCCGGACAGCAATGAATTTTCCCAGCACAGCTCTGCGATCCACCGATCGTCGGAATTAGCATTGTGGCTTGCCCCCACGGCCAAAACATGTGGACCACTCCCCTCGCAGTCCATAAATGCGGTGGTGGCGTGAGCCAAGACCGCACCGGCCGGGACCACTACGCCGTCCGGGCCCCCATTCAGAACTTGTAAGAACAGGGACTGGCCAGCGCGGACAATCGTCTGCGCGGCGACAAAAGAAAAACTCTTGGCGACGGAGTTAGACGGGGACAGCAGAATTCCAGTCGATGCGTTAACTTCCCCAAACTGTTTTCAATAACGTAAGGGTATGAGCATTTGTGCGCCAGGTGGAACCTCTACCGTGACATCCGCTATTGCTTGCACGGCAAAGCACGGCAATGGGCGACCCAGCCGTGATTTAAAAAAAAACATTGTCCGGCCCTCCGGCAGTTCCAAACAGTCTTGATCCACAACGACCTTAATGGGCATCCTACGAAGGAAGTCGGTGCCCAACAAGTAGGGCACCGCTAACGATCATGAAATCAAAACCGTCCCCGATGCGGCTACATTACCAATGGCGATATGAACTTCCACCTGTCCAATGATACCCATACTCCCCCCATTAGCAGAAATACACACGTCAAAAGCCGGTCGCACCCGTGAAGCCGGAATAGACAGGAGGTGGAAGATGACGTCAGATATAATAGTTGCCGACGCCCCGGTATCGACCAAAATCCGAACGTCCACCCCCTGTATAGTACCCGGTAGAGTGGAGGACCCCGACGAGGCCGCGATGACACGGCGCGCCAACCTTCTTCACTGAGTGGCCGTACGCGGCGGCCCCCCAGCAGCATCACGCACGTCGCGAACCGAAGGAACATTTAGCGTGCCGGAAGATGCATGAGGTGTCGCGACCGCGCCCAAAATGGCGGATTCGCGCCACGTGGCGCCCGCCGTGATCGTGATGGCGGCCAGTCCTTCCGAGACCGCCAGACGGGAGCCCTGCTCGCTTCCACTCGGCAACGTTTCCCGCGGTGGCACTGGTGCCGCAGACGAGGCGACCAGCGTGACGAGGTTTAGCAGAACAGCTTGGAGAGAATCGATCTGCTCCGCCAGCCGTCTTCCGCGCCGACGTCCTTGTCCGGTCCTTTGGTCGAGCCAGCCGCGGTCGCGGCAACCGGGTCCGTAGCACCCGGGGCCGTCAAGTCTTGGCTGAGCGGGTCATCATCGTCCGAAAACGGTGCAGGTGGGTTCTTTTTCTTGAGATGCTTGGACATTACTGCAGCGACTGCTTCGTCCAAGTTCAAGAGTCACTTCTGACACCACTTGTAATAAACCACTGCGACGATGATCTGTAACTTGTGTCTTCTTTATTATTTATTAATTCCTTGACAGCTGGACAGCTCCGCGCTCTTCGATCTGACACGGCTGCACTCCCGTTCCCGCGCGGTTAGATGTTGTCGCTCGCGCCAGCTCTCTCACACCCTCTCCCGCTCCTGCGCGCCGCTGACAGGCGGCTCACAAGGAGGAAGCCTCCGACCCGCCACGTGGCCGCTGGCGTTCCGGAGGCACGAGACGGGGTCACGCTCCCTGACTCCGCACACTGACCCCGAGCCCCTTCCGGCTTCCCCTTATATCCCCTGACCTATGTCACGAAGCCCCCCCTACAGCCACACCCCTTCCCGACCCTTCTAGATGGGTACTCCCCAGGGCCTTTGAGCACCGCCCTTGAATTTCGGCTCATCCCTCTGATTGGTTGATGGCCCAGGCGGCGGAGCCTATCCCACTGATCGGCGATCGTTGGTGAACTCTCGCTTACACAAACGTGCCAATTTCTTATTGCAGCAGCACCACCGGTGTGGTTGTTGGAAAGCGATCCACACAACGCTGAATAATTGAGTGCACGAGCGTTTTGCTGGTAGTTACAACCAGCATAATCGGGTAGTTGCCATAATTGTGGATTGTTCTCCAACATTCAGAATCTTGTTTAAGCTGAAGGAATCCGATTAGCTGTCGGAATCTTACTTACCACTTTTTCACAGATGTCCAGTTTTACTTGTGGTGCTGCGGAGGCAGTCAGACATTGGCACGTTTGCGCACGACGACATTTTTCACCGGCTGTGTCAGGTGGAGGAGGCTGTACGAGACATTTCACTTCATAATCAGAATCCGATGAGCTATGAAGCTCTTTTTCACAGATGTCCAGTAGGGGCAGGTAAGCAAGTTACTACAAAAAACACAAAACACAAACGTGATAGAGAAATGTAAATAAAAGGTGAGCCGGTCACTAAAAAAAAGTCAAATATTTTATTAGATACTGTATAAGTACATATTGTACAAGTACATTCTGTACATTCCTGACGATGTTTCAACACTACATCAAAATTTGGGCAGGGCAGTAAAACAACAGCCCCAAGGCACACCAAGACAACACACCCTCAATTTAAATGCACATTAAATCCTTACCTATCGATACACAGGTAAGGATCAACGTTACAAATCACATTGGCAAATGCGGTTGTTTCCAGCACCAATCTTCTGCTTCAAGATATTTTAAGGAATATTTATGATGTTAAGTGAGGAAACTCAGGTTAAATCTTGATTTAAAGCTTTCGTGACTGCAGGACTTCATGTAGATAGGTTCAATGAAAATAAAAAAACTACGTTTCGATCGCAACACAAGCGGTCGTTTTCTTTTCCTGATGACGACCGCTTGTGTTGCGATAGAAACGTATTTATTTTCTTTGAACCTATCTACGTGACTTCACCGAAAGACCCAGAGAATAGGAAACGAGGTTGTTCCAAAACGTTGGTGCTGCAACAGCAAGGGCTTTGTCGCCTCTTCCAATTCTTATCCTAGGGATAGTTAGAAGGCAATTAGACGTCTTAGGTTTTCCTGGGTTTGACAATGGAGTAAATTAATTAGCTAAGTATAGTGCACATTTGCCAAAAAGGATTTTATGAATGAAGAGAGTCCAATGTCGATTTCTTCTCGCATCAGGTGATGTGAGATTGAATTTTAAGAAGCGGTCACAATGATGTGTCCTCTGTGGTACATCCAGTGCAGATTGAAGAGCTTGCACGATCAGACCAAAACATTAATAATCATTGGTTGTGAAGGTCTTCTACACGTTCATTTCTGTCTGGTGTTCTAACTGGTTGGTGTTGTGTTCCTGTGGTGTTCACCGGTTGGTGTTGTGTTGGCGTGGTGTTCTCACTGGTTGGTGATGTGTTCCTGTGTTCGCACTGGTTGGTGATGTGTTCCTGTGGTGTTCTCACCGGTTGGTGTTGTGTTGCCATGGTGTTCTAACTGGTTGGTGATGTGTTCCTGTGTTCTAACTGGTTGGTGATGTGTTCCTGTGTTCTAACTGGTTGGTGTTGTGTTGGCGTGGTGTTCTAACTGGTTGGTGTTGTGTTCCTGTGTTCTAACTGGTTGGTGATGTGTTCCTGTGGTGTTCTCACTGGTTGGTGTTGTGTTGGCGTGGTGTTCTAACTGGTTGGTGTTGTGTTCCTGTGGTGTTCTCACCGGTTGGTGTTGTGTTGGCGTGGTGTTCTAACTGGTTGGTGTTGTGTTGGCATGGTGTTCTAACTGGTTGGTGTTGTGTTCCTGTGGTGTTCTCACCGGTTGGTGTTGTGTTGGCATGGTGTTCTAACTGGTTGGTGTTGTGTTCCTGTGGTGTTCTCACTGGTTGGTGTTGTGTTGGCATGGTGTTCTGGTTGGTGTTGTGTTGTCATGGTGTTCTAACTGGTTGGTGTTGTGTTCCTACGGTGAATTGTCTATAAAGTAACTAGCTTTACTACCCGGCTTCGCCCGAGACTTGGATTCTTGTCTTGGATTATTAGACGGCCTACGCGGAGGGTGGGGGGGGGGATGCGCGACGTCAGCAGGCACACTGCGTGACGCTGCCGCATGCGGGTGACATGACGTGTGACGTCACCGCTCACTGGCGTGCAAAATATATGCATTATTGCGCCCCCCCCCCTCCCAAAAAAATACAAAAGTCTATTTTTACACTTTTTGCATTGTGTACAGTCTGGAAGCTACCCACATGCCCAATTTCAAGTTTGTTGCATGTCGGGAAGTATGCTCAACATTTCGAACAGACACACACACATTCACAAATTTCCCTTTTATATAAATGCTGTAGTATTCTTATTGATTTGAAGCTTTCGTGACTGCAGGAATCCATACTCTTCATGAACAAATCTCTGAAGGTAGCCGGTAGGTTTGCAAAGTACCTCCGTTTTGGAAAAATCTATTTCGTGAGCCCACAGCGTTGAAACTTCCCACCTGATGACGGACGCTTGTGTTGCGCCCGAAACGTGATTTATTTTATTTTATACCTACGTGACTTTACCGAAAGAACCAAAGAGTAGAGTATTCTTATTGTTCAAATGTACTGTGTACATTAATGCATCTTATCAAATGTAATTTCACCCTAAAACGCATTTGCCCCCAGTGGCAGCCTTCTTCTGATATCAGAAAAATGTGGGTTTCTTAAACGTTGGGTATTTTGATGTTTCAGTCGTAAAAATATACCCAGCATCCCTGTGTCCAGCTGTGATGGAACAGCGTTTGAAACAGCACCCACGACACTCTCTACAGCATGTGTTTGTTTTCATAGTATGGGGAGATGCCGATTAAATGTAACGTGAAAAAGTCTTCATGAATGAAATGAGCATGCACCTATAATTATCTCCAAAGGACACGAAGCAGCTGACGTGAATCCAGCCCAACTGGTTCCGCCCGTGCTGAGTAGGGAACAATCGGCTGGTGAAACACAACGATGCTGCTCCCTGGTACACAACGACCAGCAGTGGCACACACAGACAAAAAACATGCCGTGTCTTGTCATGAGGGCAGCCATTAGCGCATGCTGGATGCGTAGACATTCTTTAACGACGAAACTTCAATGACACCATGATGCGTAATGTGGCCTGTGGCTCAAGGGGCCGCGTGCGTCGCGGTGTCCGAGGCGACGCTCTCCGCCTGCCGCGCCACCCACCGGCACCGCTACTACCCCGTGGCACATCGCGGTGGTGGGGGAGGCGGTGACAATGCACGCGATGCTGTCGATGCTCCTCCTCGTACCCTGTCCCAGCTGACGAGCCCCACTGGGGGCCGTCTCAAGTCTCAGCTGGGAGCCGTCTCAAGTCGGAGCTGGGAGTCGTCTCAAGTCTCAGCTGGGAGTCGTCTCAAGTCTCAGCTGGGAGCCGTCTCAAGTCGGAGCTGGCAGTCGTTTCAAGTCGGAGCTGGGAGCCGTCTCAAGTCGGAGCTGGGAGTCGTCTCAAGTCGGAGCTGGGAGCCGCTGTGGGATCAGCGCTGCGGCAGTCGCCAAGGAAGCAGCAGGTAGAGCGCTCGCTGCGTTTCCCTTCGTTACCTCTCGCGACGCTCGCCAACACGTAGATCGTGATGTCAGCATTCCCCACTGCCTCGCTCATGCTGTTAATCTACACTCAACGTGTTTATATTACTACTACACGCTTTTATTTAACTCACTCTGTCTGTTGTTGTATCCTCAAATCTTGTAACTCAATTTTAACCAACTTCCCAATGTCGTATCGACTGCAAACTTGGTATACGTATGTCATACTGGTGACAATTCTATATTCTATCATTAAAAATAAAGATATTTTTAAACCATCTTTTTAATATGTTATGTTTCGGCTTGGGTCTAATTGCCCACGCTCAACTGACAGCTGTAAATCACCCGGCACCTTACGTTGTGGCAAGCTTCGGGGCCACCTCCTGGAGTCGGTGGAGTTCAGCCATTACTCATACCATACATTTCATTAAAGTGTGTTTTTTTAAGTATTTCTAAATATTACTTATTTAGTTTTACCAGGTAAGGCGCACTGAGCGATGTAGCTCTTCTTCAGAAGCGACCTGACCACAAGACCTCTCACGTGTGACTTACCACGTGCACATTTATAGCGGCAGCCAATTACTCTCAAACCCAGCAGAACCCAGAGGGAATTCTACACGACCACGGGGAGAACATCCAAACTACAAATATACAGCAGACGTCAGGGTCGAGATCGAACCCACCAGGCGAGATGGTTAACATTTCGCCACCATGGCGCCCCCATTATTAATGATTAACTCCGCTAAATTGTAACTTTCACACGCGTTGAAGGGGTTGCATGCGGACACAGGCTGAGTAAGGATGATAAAAATAATATTTAAAAATACTTATTTTAAACACCCTTTAATGAAATGTACCGTACGAGTAATGGCAGAACTCCATGACTCCAGGAAGTGGCCCCGAGGCTTGCCACAACGTAAGGGGGCCGTGGTGATTTACAGCCAACGTCAGTTGAGCGTGGACTATTAGACCCAAGCCGAAACATAAGGTATAAAAAAGATTTCTTAAAAATATTATTTTTTATTTGTAATGATAGACTCTAGTATTGTCATCAGTATGACATAAGTATACAAAGTTTGCAAGTCGATACCATATTGGGAAGTGGGTTAAAATTGAGTTACAAGATTTGGGGATACGACAACAACAACAACAACACCAGACAGAGTGATCTTAATTTTGGAGCTTTCGTGACTGCAGGAATTATTCTTTGGTTTTTTCGGTAAAGTCACGTATAAAAATAAAATAATAAATTAAATAATAGCATACGACGTTTCGATTGCAACACAAGCAATCATCATCAGGTATAATGAAATAGCGACATAGAATATAACCAGAAAACTATAGACAGACATATAAGCAGACAGATATCACCAAGATACATAGAGAGAGCAACCCAGGTACAGAGAGAGGTGATCGTCTCTGTGGGGTGGCCTTAAATAGACAGAGGGGGGCGGAGGCAGAGAGAGGGAGGGGGTAGGGAAAACATTTACATGTCAATGAGTACGAAGGGAGGGGAGTAAGGTAAGCAGGCTTAGAGGGAGACAGAACACACTAAATTAAATAACCTAGCAAAGTATCGAAATGTTATGTAAAACGACACAGAGAGTCGGTCAACACACAATTAACGCATTGCCTGGTCGATTACGTATTTCAAAGATTGCTAAGTTAGAATTTAAGTGTGAAAATTCCAAAGAAAGACAAAACATAAAAAAGAGGAACGGAGACACACAGACAGAGCAGAACCTAAGAACGATACAAAACGAGTGTAGACAGAGAAAATTACACTAAATATACAGGCAGAGAGAGAGAACAAGAAACCCAGAGAGAGAGAAAAAGGTAAACTTGGAACTTCCCCGTAGAAGTGGTTCAATCTTAATTTTGGAGCTTTCGTGACTGCAGGAATTATTCTTTGGTTTTTTCGGTAAAGTCACGTATAAAAATAAAATAATAAATTAAATAATAGCATACGACGTTTCGATTGCAACACAAGCAATCATCATCAGGTATAATGAAATAGCGACATAGAATATAACCAGAAAACTATAGACAGACATATAAGCAGACAGATATCACCAAGATACATAGAGAGAGCAACCCAGGTACAGAGAGAGGTGATCGTCTCTGTGGGGTGGCCTTAAATAGACAGAGGGGGGCGGAGGCAGAGAGAGGGAGGGGGTAGGGAAAACATTTACATGTCAATGAGTACGAAGGGAGGGGAGTAAGGTAAGCAGGCTTAGAGGGAGACAGAACACACTAAATTAAATAACCTAGCAAAGTATCGAAATGTTATGTAAAACGACACAGAGAGTCGGTCAACACACAATTAACGCATTGCCTGGTCGATTACGTATTTCAAAGATTGCTAAGTTAGAATTTAAGTGTGAAAATTCCAAAGAAAGACAAAACATAAAAAAGAGGAACGGAGACACACAGACAGAGCAGAACCTAAGAACGATACAAAACGAGTGTAGACAGAGAAAATTACACTAAATATACAGGCAGAGAGAGAGAACAAGAAACCCAGAGAGAGAGAAAAAGGTAAACTTGGAACTTCCCCGTAGAAGTGGTTCAATCTTAATTTTGGAGCTTTCGTGACTGCAGGAATTATTCTTTGGTTTTTTCGCTATTTCATTATACCTGATGATGATTGCTTGTGTTGCAATCGATACGTCGTATGCTATTATTTAATTTATTATTTTATTTTTATACGTGACTTTATCGAAAAAACCAAAGAACAGACAGAGTGAGTTAATAGAAAGCGTTTAATAATTCACGCGTCTGTGCCAAGTCGCCGCTGTGTGCATAATCATCACCACCATCATCATGAGATGATGGTGATGATGATGGTGATGTATCTGTACCAGCACGGGGCCGCAGCGTCGCCCAGTGAGCACTGCTGCTATAGATGTCCACACGAGCTATCATTAGTGGCCAGGTCCCTTCTGAACAAACGATGTATAGCTCAGGGGACCTTACTTGGTAAAACAAATAGTCTAGTTCGTTGGCACCGACCGCCAGAATTGTCTGGACGGCTCCGTGCTCCAGCTCCTCCAGCCGCTCCTGCTCCCGGGTTGGGCGAGGGCGCTCCCAGCAGCCAGTCCAGCGCGGCTTGGCGAGCGCGTCGCTCGCCGGTCTCCGTACACATTACCCGAAGACAGAGAGGAGTCTACCTGCCATGGTGTCGCGGATGTCTTTGTGAGTACTTGTGCCGTGAGATGACTTCGTGACAAAGTCGTACGCCCAGACCCCGAGACTGCGGCGTCCACGACTCGCTCCCCTGTGGCAGCACTGGCAGGTTTTTTCGCTTGTCTCTCCAGACGCGGTCCAGGGCGCCGCGGTGGCAAGATGTCAACTCCCTCGCCTGGTATGCAGGATTTCGAGGATTCGAACCCAACCCTGACGCCTGCTGCTATATATTTGAAGTTTGCATGTTCTCCCCGTGGTCACGTGGATTTTTCTCCGGGTCCACCGGTTTTTCCCTCTACATTTAGAATCAACATCAAGCGTTTCGAGTATTTGGCTACTATAATTGTCCACGTGGCGTTGCGGTCGATGGAGTCGAGGGAGACCTTGATGTCGATGTAGGCCACGTGGAGTCGTGACAGTGACCTCGGGCTCACATTGGACCTGCTCAGATGTTGAGATGACATTTTGATAGCAGCAGTTGCGTGGTAAATAGCCTCCGAATGTCTCTGATCTTTGGGAGATTTTGAGAACACTGGCATTCCACAGGGGTTGAATTCCCCAAGATGCACATCCTCCCACACAGCCTCGGGAAGCTGCGAGCCACATGGTGAGCGGAGAGGCTGCTGCGTGAATCAGAAGTACCTTTTCCAAAGGTCGCGGGCGACGATGATTTCTTTGCACACGCATTCATTTCTTGTACGCCGGCAGACGAGCAGCCGCCATACTGCGGACCGATCATGGATGTGGGCGCTTACCTGGAGCGGATCTGCTTCGTAGGCAGCACAGCCCCCAGCGTGGCATCGCTCCGCGCCCTCCACCGTGCCCATGTGCTGTCCGTGCCGTTCGAGACCCTCAGCATCCACTGTGGGGAGCCCATAACCCTGGACCTGGAGAAGATCTACCGCAAGGTGATGACGGCACGTCGCGCGCACTGCGATCAGCACAGCGCGAGAGTTTCCGGTGATGTGGGTTTCACGCAAAAGTTAGCAATATGATGGATTTACACTGCAGCATCTGTATGGCTCTCAGAGTGTGTTTTCAGGAATGTACGTATGTGTTGAACTTATTTCGCACCATATATACAGCCGACCGCGCTAATCGGAGGTGTGGGGGGAGGACAACAAACTAAACACAAAAAGCGGTTTAAAAAAATTCGTTTTCAATTTAAAGAAATGTGTTTGCAATAATGTGCTAATTTAATTTGAGGACTCTTAATGATTTCGGAAAAGTATTTGTCAGGACTCGATGGTTATTCAGATAACATGGACATTGTTGCCATGATATTACTCGAGCACGACAGTTCCTTGCCCATAATATTGTCGTGCCGTATATAAAACCCCACGAATATTTCAGTGTTCCCTTAGACTGTTAGACAATCCCTTGGCGACCTCATCTTTTCCAAGAATGTTCCTGACCGTGACAACTTCTGCCCACTTTACGGACTTTTTGGAGTTAAAGAATATACAGTAAATCAAAACCTATTCATGAATCTCACAGTAGTGGGGCAACTCGAAATCTACTTTTTATCTACACCGACACTTGCATGCATTTCATCCGCACAACTAGTTTCTCTCTGTATACAATCTACACTGGACACATTGGTAAATGTTCTTGGTTCTTTCGGTAAAGTCACGTAGAAGGGAAGTAATAAAATAATACAAATTTAACATAAAATAATTCTCACGACGTTTCGGCCACAACGCAAGCAGCCGTCCTCAGGTGAAGAATGAAACACCACCAAGCTTGGAGCGTATATTTAAGCTGGGTTGGAGGGGGGAAGAAGAGTGCCTTGACTAAAGAATTTGCATATCAAGCAGAAGTTTGTAGGTGGGGGAGTTGATAGGAACACATTGCCAGTGAACTCAAACACGTACGCCAAGCTCTTAAGGCTAATGGTTACTCCGACTACACAATCCGCAAAGCCATCACTCCAACCATCAAGAAGGATCGTATTGAGGAGCCTTTCAAAACCATCACCTTACCCTACATTGCTGGGGTCACAAAAAAGATCTCCAAAATCCTGATTAAACACAAGATCCAGGTCCGATTCAACACAGTACATAAAATCCGTGATCTAGTCCTGTCTGTAAAAGATGTGGTTCCAGACATACAGTACCGTGGCATCTACAAACTAAGTTGCCTCTGTGGTAGCAGTTACATTGGAGAAACCAAACGACATATCTCGGACCGCATCCGTGAACATAAAGCAGACCTGAAACACGGTAGGACAAACACCTCAGCCGTAGCAGATCACTGTTACAATTCAGTGGGCTCACATGACATTGACTTCTCCAAGACAGAGGTTCTCTGCAAGCCATCTGGCTACCATGAGAGATTCGTTCATGAGGCGATCCACATATACAAACACAGAGACAATTTCAACCGAGAAAATTGATTCTGGCTCAGCAATCATTGGAAGGACGTAATAAACCATTTCGGATCTTAACTGATTGTCTTCACGTTTACGGTGACTTTCAGACCGCAGTCCACTCAATGGCATTGACTATATATCTTGTATTCTCCACAGGGAATGGATTCTTTGCTCTGCTGCAAGTCTCCTTTCACTACTCTTCCATTGACATATTTCGTTGCTTCCTCTTAGTATCTTTCACGCGACGGTCAATGGTATAGTGTATAGCAGATTGTATAAATAGTATAAAATTGTAATGTTTAATACAATTTATAAGGTAATATACAGTATCGTAATTGTATAGTGAATATACAGCAGTGTGGTATATAGTAGGGTGGGTAAAATAATACTTAGTGTAATATTATAGACGAAGGTATAGAGTGGTGTATAGTAATACAGTATATAATTTAATGTTGAGTTTGTCTATGGTAGTATATAGTACGGGGTAGACCCGTGTGATGTAAGAGAAAAAAGTTTAGCTGGAAGCATATTATATTTTTTGCGACATAGAATTGTAATGTATTACTTACTTTTAGTAGCTCAGCTTATTGGAGAGTATATTTAGTATACTGATGATACTATGTAGTTTATACTTTCGTTTTTTTTTACGTGGTTGTTTAGCAACTGCAGCTACATACTATTAACATTCCTCCCCTTTGTTAATGTTACCCCCATCCCCTCCCTTTGATGCTGCTAATCCTGCATAATGCACAGGCATAATATGACTTTGAAACCCCCCCCGCCCACCTCCTACGCATTTCGCATAAATATGCTAAATTCCTCTTGATATGCAAATTCTTTAGTCAAGGCGCTCTTCTTCCCCCCTCCAACACAGCTTAAATATACGCTCCAAGCTTGGTGGTGTTTCATTCTTCACCTGAGGACGGCTGCTTGCGTTGTGGCCGAAATGTCGTGAGAATTATTTTATTATGTTTCATTTTTATTATTTTATTACTTCCCTTCTACGTGACTTTACCGAAAGAACCAAGAAGATGAATCCCTGCAGTCATGAAAGCTTTAAATCGAAACATTGGTAAATATTGACAAATATCACATTTATCTTATTTGTCATCTAAGGCGCTATAAACCTTAGGCGGATTTTTTGTTGTTGTTGCAACTGACTACTGGCTCACGGGCCGCGTGACAAGGCCGTTGCGTGCCGACAGATTGTGAAGGAGCGGCGAGGAGGCTTCTGCTACGAGAACAACGGCCTCTTCTCTTGGCTGCTGCGGCAGCTGGGATTCCAGGTGACCCTGTGTTCAGCTCGCATGCTGAGCCCCTTCACTCACAGGTAACGCCTACCTTTACGCGTATCTTGACGTGGGTCTCTCTCTCTCTATGCCATACACAACATGATTGATTCTGCAAACACTGACCCTCTGCCAAGGGAATGTGTAATTTCCACAATTGGGCATAGGGCCAGCAATGGACGTACAAGCACTACCGACATTGTTCATTTTTGCCCTGCACGCCTCCCGTTCTAAACATCAACGTGACGTGCAGATGGAGCTGTGGCGCAGGGGTTAGCGCACTACGAACCCAGCCACCCGAGTTCAACTCCTGGTCACGGCTAACATCAGTGGCGAGTGATACTCAACTGATCCTGGGTGCCTCGCTTTCAAAAATCCTGCACTGACCAGCGTGGGGGAGTATGCTCGGCGTGGAGATCTTCATCCAGCAGTGGATTGACAAAGGCTACACTTTGTTGTTGTTATTCTGTAGCTTTGCTCTGGGACCGCACCTCTCTTACAACTCGGATAATCTCAGAGCAGTCCAAGCGTGATGTCCTTTGTGCCAACAGACACAGTCATTTCCTTTTGTTTGAATGAAATTCCTCACCTATTGCGCTAAACTGTTTAATGTACCATACGTAGCCAACCGTACTAATCCTAGGTGTGGGGGAAGTACAACAAACCCTCGCCTGGTATACAGGAGGTCGTGGGTTCGATCCCAACCCTGACGCCTGCTGTATATTTGGAGTCTGCATCTCTAACTGTCTCGCCGTGATTGCGTGGATTTTTCTCCGGGTCCTCCAGTTTTTCTCTCCACATTTAGAAACATGTGTTTAGTGTATTTTACTTCGACTATAAATTTCCACGTCATAAGCCACTTCGTTAGTGGCCAGGTCGCTTCTGAATTAGAGCTACATAGCTCAATGGGGTTTACCTGGTAAAATACATAGTTTAGCTTTAAAACAAAAAGCAGTTATAACGAAATTAGTGTACGATGGTTAATCAGAGCAAAATGAAATAAAATCCAATTAAGTTGATGTTATTAATGATTGTGTAATGTTAACATCAATGTGAAGGGGCAGTAGCGGTGGAAGCATTCGCGGCCGTGGCCACGGCGGTGTCCAGATCCTGAATGTGGCCTCACGTGCAGGTACGGGCCTCCTTTTCAACATCTCATGATCCTCGTGAAACTGGGTGCAACGGACGGCCAGAAGTGTCCATCGGCGCTTCCTTCAGGGGAGCGACAGCTCGAGAGGTTCGTGGTGGATGTTGGCTTTGGGAACGGCATGCGGGAGCCGCTGGAGATGGAGAGTGGGCGGGAGAGCGAGCAGGAGTCTGGGACGTACCGGCTGCGCAGCGACTGCCCTGCCGGCTGGTGGAGCCTGGAGGAGGCCTCGGTGGAGGAGGCCTCGGTGGAGGAGGCCGGCGGTGATGGGATCCAATTGAAAGATGTACGCTCGCTGCACACTAACACAGCGACACGCGCCTGCAACATTCCCAGCAAGTCTATACAATGACTCCACTAACCATCGCGATCCCTCAAGGTGCTGTGCTGCCACAGCCACCGTACTCCAGCACACGAACTGATCTCATCGCGCTCCCCCTCCTTCGGTTGCCATTCCGTCGCCAGCGTCATACGCTGGCTATTGTTCCTTGTAGCGGCGTGTCCCATTCAGGAGTTAGCATGGGGGTGGTGATGTATCGCTCTCAACGTTGTGTAACTTAATCACCTGCAAACTGCTTTTTCCATATCCCACACCTCCGATTAGCACGGTTAGCTACGTACGGTGTGAACGAAGTTCAAAGTACATACATCTCAGCGAGTTATTGTACAAAACAATTCCTGGATTTGTAAGTGTGTGTCGTATTTTCTGGTAATTGTGGTGCTGGCAGTCAAAAACATGTTTTTTTTCAACAGCTGGCCATTTTAGTCGTCTCATGTGTAATGGTTTTTTTTTACTGTTTTGTCATTGATATATCACATTTCTCTTTCGCAATAACTCTTCCAAATGCATGATTGGCCACCTCTCCCCATTTTAATTTGACAGCCGAGTTGTACTTTTGTACCGACCACCTCTTTACAACGATAATGAAACGGTGCGTTCGGGATCGTAACCAAGCAGAGTTCGCAAACCTGTGCATGCGATCGGAACTCGGCTCTTAACTCGTTGACGGCACCAATGCCATGAGGCAGAAATCCATCTCCGGGTGAGCGACCGGCTGTGCAATCGCTGACTCGGCGTGGATCCAGCCGCAGAGTGCAACATGCAGCTGACACGCACGACAAAGGCAGAATATCAAGACGGCGCAGTCGATCAATGTTCAGAGTGTAGATGCTTACACGTGTAATAAGACTCTTTGAGACGACTTCTGGAATCCGTCTTTTATTCACTTTGGGTTACATCTACTTCACGCTGCTGATAGACAACGTGAAGGGACAGATAGACCGAGAGAGACGCACTGCCACGTGGCAACTCGGAGCCCCGCGCTTCCTCCATTGGTTCCCGTTCTGACCACGTGTCGTTCCTCTCTACCCCTATTTAATCCCCGGGTCACGTGGTACGCTTCAGCCAATCCTCGTTAGCCTGCATCGAATCTTCCAGGCTCCTCGTCAGCTGCCGGGACCACGCCCCTGACTCATCTCCCCATTGGCTGAGGCCAAAGCCAGCAGAACCAATCTCCATAGCTGTCACCCTTCCATCACGTCAGGGCCATGCCCCCAGGCTTCCCCCCATTGGCTGTAAACCAGGACCGGCAGAGCTAATCACCATGACAAGGTGTGATACATCAGTGAGCCGGATATATTCTCATTACACATGATTTCTCTTGTTTAAAAATAATCCTCGTTGTGTTTGTTAATTGCAGGTAGAACTGCAGCCACCTCGTGCGGGAGAAGACGAATGTTGGACAGTGCTTTACAAGTTCACAACAACCGCACGTGGATTTCTGGAATTCTCAGACATGTGCCAGTACAACCAGACGTCACCGAGCTCCATGCCCGCGTCTAAATCTCTGTGCACCCTTCACACGCCTCAAGGTCGGGTCACCTACATGGGCCGACGTCTCACCAGCACCACCGTCAAGCCGGCGCGGAACCATCGAGTCCGCAGGAAGAGCAAAGCCGTCCGTGAGCTTTCCGATGAAGAGATCCCCATCGTGTTGAGGGATGTCTTTGGAGTCGTTCTCAAAAATCCATTGGTGCCAAAAGATCGTGCCATTGTACCTGAAGAGTGCGATCAGTTTTAATGTTTTAGAATTGTAACACGGGAAGGCCAACGTGCATCTGGTGTTACCGTGCATCATGCATGCACGCACGCACGCACACAAACACGCAAACACAAAGACACTAGATGAGCACCCACCAAGGCCTCTTTAAGCACACGTTCTATGGAGCATGGCGAGACCAGCATGGTCTACATACGGGGTGGTGGGGCTGGTTGTCGGGGTGCCATGTATCTCGGCCTCGCTGTGCGCTGCGTTGCACCGCTAGTCGAGTAGACAACCATGTGTTCAATAAACCCTCGAAGCCAGGATGACCGTCCAACTCCGATCGTCATTTATTGATTGTAACAGGTAAGACTGGTGAGAAAACACAGATACAGCATCTGTTATAATTCGGAAACACCCACACAATGAACACCACAGCATCAGAACATTGTCTCAGATAACAATAGATCCTGGAAGGACCAGGCCCCCACATTACCCCTGAACAACTAGACAAAGGCACAAGCTGGTGCGTTGCATACAGTCAAATAGTGTATTCATCCCACTGCACCCCAAATGTACAGCATTACACTTAACACTAAACTGTGGATGAGATACTTCGTCATCACTCTCAGGATCGCAACATAGGCACAAGTCTGACTCGACCTACTAAATCACAAGTAACATCCACAATAAGGAAAGTCACAGGCTTCGTTACTAACTAGGCCTCGTATTTACTACAACAACTTAACGGCACCATAAAGGCATTTACGTTGCTATAACGGTCATTCCAACATTACAACAGAATTTCCAATATTATAAGAATATAAACAACTTACAGATAATGCTTCTTAAGCTCCCACAATGGACAAGTGCGGCTGTGGTCTCACTGAGATGCGATGCGTGCCGCCATCTTGACTTATCTGTGTAATGGCTGACGCCCGCGTGGTACAGTGGAAATCTAACATCGTCACTTCCTGGTCACGTGACCAACATTAGCATCAAAAAACAGGAACTTCCTGTTAACGTACGCTCCCCATCTGCCGTGAGGCAAGACACTCCCCGTCTGGTATCTAGGAGATACCACCATTTATTTCCTATCTCATAAACAAGTATATAACAACTTCAACGGGTCGACTTATTTGTCCATATCTTTGCGAGAGAGAAGTAGTACTATCTCGACTATGGGCTTGATGAAAGTTCTTGCGACTCCTTGCTTCGCAATCATAACCTCGACCTTTCGAACTTTTCCATCGGCACTTGGAATCGACTTGAGGATGCGGCCCATTGGCCACTCATTCCGTTTGGCTTGGTTGTCCTTCAGTAGGACGAGGTCGCCTTCTTGGATGTCTGGTCTATTAGACTGCCACTTGTTGCGCACTTGGAGTGTCGTAAGGTACTCGTTTTTCCAGCGACGTCAGAACGTGTTCGCGAAGCTCTGCACTTGTCTCCATTGACGTCTGTAGAGGTCTGCAGTGCTGGCCTCCTCGGTAGGTGCTGTGAGCACATCTGTCTTTTGGGTAAGAAGTGTAGCAGGAGTCAAGATGAATGGTGACTCCGGGTCGGTTGAGACGGGGATCAGGGGTCTTGAGTTAATTATGGCTGAGACCTCGGCCATGAGAGTGGTCAAGACCTCGTGAGAGAGCCGTGTGGACCCGACATCACATAGCATGGAGTCGAGAATGCGTCGAGCAATCCCGATCATGCGTTCCCAGGCTCCACCCATGTGCGAAGAGTGGGGAGGATTGAAGATCCATGTGCAGCCTTGATCACTAAGGTATTTTCTGACAGAATAATCTTCGACATTCTCCGTATTGATCTTAAGCTCTTTACATGCTCCTATGAAATTGGTTCCACAATCAGAACGGAGTTGCTTGGCTGGCCCTCTGATGGCGAAGAACCTCCGGAGTGCATTTGAAGTATTGGAAATGACGGCAGGAACTTCTTGACGGGTAACCCACTTTTATTAAATCTTGACGTGTCACAATACAACGTGTGGTCTCTATTCTTCTGACTATACACTCCACTTAACTCGTGTAGACTCTATGCCTCTGGCTACACACCATGCATTCGACTCGTGTAGACCCTATGCCTATGGCTACACACAATGCATTCACCTCTGGGTTACACAGAGTCCCGGTCCCGTTAGGACAGCGGGACTAGGTACCGCAGGGCCCTATCTCTTCATCCCCGTCTTCATTCTTCGCTGGTTACATACTGCCTTTACGCCTGTGTGCATCCCCTTTTATAGCCCCTGCTCACGGGAGACGGAGCTGATGCGGACGTCGACGTGAGCATCGCTCCTTAGTTAACCAATGACGACGCGCTATCTCTACGATCCGTTTTCCCCAGCGCGTGTTAACACTACTCAACCAATCACACCGCGCTGCCACCCGATCACTCCCTCTCAGCGCGTCACCGGCACACAGCCAATCAGCACCACGTAACCCACGACCCCGCGCTGACCCCTGATCCTCCACCGTCAGCGCGCGTCACCACATACACAGCCAATCACTACGCGCTGGCACACGATCCCTACCCCAGCGTGTATCACCACTACATCACCCCCTCCCACATAGCTCGCAGCCGGCCCGGCTGCTAACCAACAACACAACCCAACGTCAACGCAATAAAAAAAAAACCCCACCCCCCAGTGTGCCCCGTAACGCAACAACAACATCACAACAGCAACACTTAATAAAAAAGCAATGTACATCCCGACGAACAACACAATAAAAGCGAACTCCAGAAAACGAACGCGCCAAGTGTCCCTGTGACTAAACGCAGTGACGAGGCGCTCCGGCTGCCTCGACTCCTCCCGTGGTAGGTTATAAAAAGTAGCGCGACCTAGCGCGAGTCCGTCTGGCCGGTCCGTCGTATGGGACGGGACGCTGACGACCGTCCGGTGGCTCCGGCAGCTCTAGACGGCGCGGATCGGGCCTGGAAGGACCGGCCCCGCCGCGCAGATCCGGCCGCCGGTGGTCGGCAGCTGTCAGTTCCAGAACACCTGGGAGCGGATCAGGCGGAGACATGTGAGGATCAGGCAAAGACATTTCCCCCTTAGGGTCGTCGGTCACGTCACATGCTCGGCCCTCACGACACAAGGGGAGGCCATATGGAGGCGAGAACGGTTTCAGTCGGGAGGGGTGGACGTACCAACGGCGCTTTCCCCATTTTATCTGAACGCACTGGGGGCGTGCAACCCGCACGACCTCCACGGGTCCCCGCCATGGCTTCAACAATTTAGGCGACGTAGCCAAAGGTGCCTGAGGGCAATGCAACCAGGCCCTGTCACCTGGTTCCCAGTTGTGCACGGACACCTTCCGTGCACGCAACCGCTCGTTTGCAATTTGGCGAGCCCGCGAATTAAGCCGTGCGGCCTCCCTTGCCTCCATCAGCTTATGAATATTAAATTTAATATGCTCTGCCAATTTCGAATTAGTTCATGGTGCGGGCAGGCCCAGCTGCGTTTCCATGGGCGGGTCGGCTTCCCGACCGTACATCAGATAGAACGGGGAAAATCCCTTAGCTGCATGGGGGGCCATTCTATACGCGGCGAGGACCCCAGGGACCTGCAGGTCGCAATCAACATGTGCCTCACACACCTGCTGGCACAGCATAGAAGTCAATGTCCTGTGGAGTCTCTCCACCATCCCGTCCGTCTGCGGGTGGTACGGGGAGGTACGCACCTTCTTAGTACCCAACAGGTCGCACACCTCTTGCAGCAATTTACTTGAAAAAATTTTCCCTTGGTCGGTCAGCAAGTGTTCGGGAGCCCCCTTGTCCAGGACGTAGCCCTGGACAAAGGTGTCCGTCACAGCCGCCGCCGACTGGTTGGCGAGTGGCCACGCCATAGGCCACCAGGTAAAATATTCGACCCCCACCAACAGGTACTTATTACCCCTAGGCGTGACTGGAAAAGGCCCCAGAATATCGAGCGCAACGAGCTCGTTAGTGCGCGAGACCTGAATAGATTGCAGCGGTGGATTAGCTGCCACGGGCGGTGGTTTCCGTCTGGCGCACTCAACACATCCCTTCAGAATATTCACCACGTCACTCCCCATCCCCGGCCAATAATAGTCACGCTGAAGCAGGGCAAGCGTTTTGTTTACTCCCAAATGCAAGAGGCGTTCGTGTGCGGCCAAGACAACTTTCCCCCTCACAGCAGAAGGCACCACAATCGCGTGCCGCCGGGACAAACTGTCCCATCTCATTAACAGGCCTTGCTTAAGTACGTAGGAGCCAGTCCGTTCCTGGTCCCCTTCGGAACCCCCCGTCCTGCGGCGCAATGCTAGCAGGGAGCTGTCCGCCATTTGGAGACGGCCCCACTCAATCAGCGACAGTGAGAGCAGCGAGTCCTGACCCCCTGGGGTAGCGGGAACATCCCCAATTGGTGTGCCCGCGGTCGCAACCAATGCCCCCACACCTTCCGTGACTGGCGGTTTACAGCGCGCCGATCCCGATAAGCACGCACATTTGTGACAAGGCAACAATCGCGACAGAGCATCGGCATTTGTGTGTCGCAACCCCTTACGGTATGTAGTCGTGAACTGATAGTCCTGGAGGACTTCCAACCACCGTGACAATTGGCCCGAGGGCTGGGCGACCCGCAATGAATACTAGAGCGCCGCGTGGTCCGTCCGGACCGTAAAGTGACGACCATAGAGATATGGTCTGAATTGTTGTACGAAAAAAACAATGGCAAGCAGCTCGCGACGGGTGACGCAGTAGCGCTGCTCTGCCGGTGACAACACCCTGCTACCATAGGCGACCACCCGTTCGACCCCCCCAACGACTTGGGACAGCACCCCCCCAATGCCCGTGTTGCTAGCATCCGTGTCTAGCAAGAAGGGACTCGCAAAGTCAGGATAGCGCAAGGGTGGGGCACCCACCAAGGCGTCCCGGAGGGAGCAGAATGCAGCCTCCTCCTCCGGTCCCCATCGGAACTTCACTCCTTTCGCCGTTAGAGCGTGCAAGGGTTTTGCAATGGTGGCGAAGTGCTCAACGAATCGGCGATAATAAGAAGCAAAACCGATGAAACTGCGCACGTCCGAGACTGACGTGGGCGTCGGCCATGAACTGACACAGTCCGTCTTCGCGGGATCAGTAGAAATCCCCGAAGAGTCGACAATGTGACCCAAGTATCTAACGGATTTACGAAGAAGGTGGCATTTGGCCGGTTTAAACTTTAATTTAGCCGATCGCATTCGCAAGAACACCCCTCTCAATCGCTGGAGGTGTTCCTCAAACGTTTTACTGAAAACAATGACATCGTCAAGGTAAATCAAGCACGTATCCCATTGCAAGCCCGACAAAACCAACTCCATAAGGCGCTGAAACGTCGCAGGAGAGGAGTGAAGTCCCATGGGTAACCGGTTAAACTGAAACAGGCCCCCTGGAGTCCGAAATGCTGTCTTAGGTTTAGACTCTTCGTCGAGTGGCAACTGCCAGAATCCGGATAATAAATCAAGAGTCGAAAAGTATCGCGCACCGGACAATGCATCGAGGGACTCGTCCATCCTGGGGAGCGGATACGCGTCGGCCACAGAGATCTTATTCAGGCGGCGGAAATCTACGCAAAATCGCAAGGACCCGTCCTGCTTTTTAACGAGCACAATAGGTGCTCCCCAAGGACTGGAAGAAGGCGAAATAATGTCGGCTTCTAGCATATCGTTAACGGCCGACTGAACATGTTCCTTCTCAGCAGGACTCAGTCGGAAGGGATTTAGCCTGACCGGTGCCGCATCGCCCGTTTCAATGTGGTGGCGTAACAGGTCCGTGCACCCAATGTCATACTTATGTTTACTGAACACATCCGAAAATTCTATCAGCAACCCGCGCAGCGCACCCATCTGTCCCGCTGACAAATCGTCAGAGTCCGCGCACAGCGAATCGACCCATTCGAGGTCCTCCTTTGGTTTAACGTTTTGCGTGGGGCTCGGATCAGCCTGCGCAACCAGCCGCTCTTCCGCAGGGACCCGTGCTGCGTGAGCTAGCACGGTGCCCTGCTGAATGACGGCCGGCCGCGACCCAGCGTTTAAAACCATCACAAACGGATCCCTGTCAGCCCCAACCAAAGTGTGAGCCACCGACAAATCGAGACCTCCAACAGCCCTATTAGAAGGACCCAAAAGCATGCCTTGATCCGAGGTCTCCCTCACCCATGGTTTCCGCAACCGGAGGGGAATTAACATTTGTGAACCCGGGGGCACGTGCACGGTCTGTGTTGCTAACGCTTGTATCGTAGCGCACGCCGTCCGAATTTCAGTAGGGTTCATCAAAAATGAAATACGGCGACCCGATGGTAGTTCAATGCAACGCTGATCAATGAGAATTTTGATGGGCATTTTTGCCAAAAAATCAGTGCCCAATAGACAAGGAACCGCCAGGGAGGACGAAACGAAAACGGGTCCCGACAATTTGATATCTCCAATGCAAATGGACGCCCTAATCTGACCGATAATGCCCAACGATCCCCCATTAGCGGCGTAAAATGGCACATCCACTGGAAGCAGCGGACGACATTGTACAGGGAGAATGTTGTAAATGAGGTCCGATATAATAGTCGCCGATGCCCCCGTGTCCACTAACACCCTGACCTCGACCCCATCAATAGATCCCGTAACGACGGATGAACCCGCTGAGGCAGCCACTATTCTGTGCCCCAACTCCGACCATTTAATGTCTCCCCGGTCCTGGCCGAGCCCCCATCGCCGAACCGAATCCCCGAACCCTAACCGGCTCTCCTCCG